CAAGGACGGTTCACGAGGGCTCCGTTTTCGACAACATCCTCCTCTGTGATTCCTTGGACTTCGCCAAGTCGGAAGCGACAAGACTGCAGGAGGGCAGTGAGAGCAGACAGTCGAGTGGGCATCCGTCGGAGCTTTGTTCTTTCTTATTTGTTGTTACTGTTGGCAGCGATTCAGGAGCTCTTCTCCAAGGAGAAGGAGGCCCGCCGCAAGTGGAAGCAGCAGGCTGGGGATCAGGAGGCGCACTCACTTGGTCTGTGCTGGGTAAGCCTGTGTCAGAATAATTCTAGATAGACGAAGATGAAGGGGCAGAATAGACTCTGACATACGCACCGAAAGCACCAACAGCACTCTTGATGTTGTCCATGGAGCAGCTATGCAGCAGGCTCCTGCAACTGACGCCGAGCTTGCCGCAGGTGTTTGGGGCATGGAGTTCTGACATGCGCGACACAGTTCGCATGGTCAAGATTTCTGTGAACACGGAGTGGAACATTGCCCATCCACTGGAACTGCGAGTTTTGAGCTCGAGCATAGCATTCAACGGAAGCCATCGAGAACGTGAGACAGGACCTCGAGCCTTTTTCCATGAAGTTAGGAAAACCTGGCTACGGTGGAGGCTTGTCAGAGACCCGCAGCCTCCAGCTTTCACGCACCCGCTCCACTGCTCGGAGACAGTTTGGCTCCGCCTGGTCCAAGCAAGCTCCACTGGCGGAGCTATCAGGACGTTCTTCGGCTCGTTTGCCGACCGACCATCGGGAGTCGAAACGGTGCGCAAGAAGCTGCAGCGCGTTTTCACAGAGTCCGAGTCCGCCGAGTCCGCAGCTTCACCTTTGCGCTCTCCGAGCTCAGGTCAGGAGCGCCAGAAGCGCGAGAGAGAGGAGAAGCGTGCTGTCGAGGACAGCAGGGCCCAGGGGTTGCCTGGGGAATTGCCGGTTGGATGTGGCTACGAATGGCGGAGTTAGATTTGAGCAGTTGTGAGTGACTGAGTGCCTAGAACTATGTTCCGATTAGCTCAGAATTTGTCACAACGGTTTGGGCAACTTAGCGCTGGGAGCAGAGACTGGTCGTAAGTGTCAGACAGCTGGCAGGAAGCTCGCCGAAGAGAGGACGAGGAACGCGCGCAACCTAGTTCAGAGATTCTGGCCGCCGCAGGATTCAGGATGGTTCAAGCACTGTTCAAGCTCTTGTCGATTGGAAGTTGGTGCTCAAATCGTTTGTGAATGCCATTGTTTGCTAGCAGGCAAGCTAAGTTTTGGTGAATTGAGGCCGCGAGCGAGCAGAAGAAAAGCGTCGAGAGCGTGCCAGCAAGCCCAGATTGATGATGCATGTTCAGTTGGCCTTGGGCGAGTGCAGATCGAACATGCAGAGGTCCAGTCGGCGGAGAGTGCAATCGAAGCTGCTTTCTGTCCTGGAGGGGGGTTATTCTTTGCATCGAACCATCGCCAAGGAGCGCGAGATTGAAGAGAGGGAGGCCAAAGAGCGCGAGGCACTTTCAACACGTCCAGAAGGAGTTCTCGTCATGAAGTTTGAATGCGTGGGTTGCCGAGCTGATGCTGTCCTGGTTTGGTCCAGGCGGCTGCGGCAAACCGACGTGCAGGCGGCGGCGGTGGAGGAGGTGCTGCTGGAGGTCGGGAGAGTGCTTGTCCCAAACACCTGCTGCCGGTGTTTCTCCGGATGCTCAAGCTGCCGACAGACCCTGCAATGTTGGCGCAGGGATCTGGGTAGAGAACTTGATTCCTCATCAAGAAGAGGAAGCCACCCTTGCTCGCGGAACGTTGGCTGTGCATCACTCAATCCTCCCGCAGGCATTTAGCCATTTAGCATTATTCAAGGAGTCAAGGAAGGAATAGCAGTTTCTTCAAGATGGACAAGAGGACTCCAGTTCGAGGCTTGGCTGGAACTGGTCCCGCTGTCGGATGGTTTCCACATGCGAGTCATGAGTCAGCGCTTTCCTGCAGATCTGAGCGTTCAGTCAGGGCCTGTTGTCTCGAGGTTTCCATTCACTGTATCGGCAGGCTCAGGCGACAAAGACGAACCCTAGAACACCGCTCCACATCCTGGGCCAATGTTAGACATCTCACTGGCGAACATCACTGCTGTGACAACAGCCAGACTGCATGTACACTCCTCCAAGATGCACAGGTTGTCATACAGGTTACATGTCGACGGTTCCCTGCGTTTCCGGGGGCCGGTGGCATCACGCACCTGGAAGACTCGAAGGAATCAGACAGCCATAATTTGATATGCTGCAGAGGAAGCGCCTGGCTCGGCGTGATCGTGGTGCTGGCATTGAAGTTAGTGGTCTCGCAACGAGGCCCCGCAAGTTACGAGCGAAGAGTAGGTTGCGAGAGAAGCCTCGTGAGACGTCGTACCCTGGTACACCCATCCCAGCACGTTGGCACCCTTGCGAGGCAGCTTTGGGCTAGTCTTTACAGTCGGTGACCGGCTGCCGTGCCGCATGCTTTCTGTTTCTGGACCTTACATTGGTCTATGCTTCTTGCGCCTTGTTGGGCGACTCATGCAGTCGCATGTCAGTCAGACCTCAGACCAAAGCCCGACATGCCGAGGCTAGAAGAGCTCCGCGCCGTGCTGTGGCAGAAGAGGTTGAGGAAGGCGTGGATATCAGCGAGGAAGCCGCGGAAGATGCAGAAAACTTCGAGGTCAAGTTCCCTGTGTACAGTAGAAATGACAATAGTATTACCATCAAGACAAATGTGACGATCTTGCCGCTGACGAAAACAGCCAGTTCCCTTCTTTCGAAATACGGGGAAGTCGAGATGGACTGTATGGGAGCAAGAAGTGTCTTCAATGCCATCCGGGTCGCGTGGCTCCAACACGAATGGAACAGCGGGATATCCGGAACATTCAGACGACTCGGCGCGGGAATAGCGCTGCGTCCGGACATGCTGTCAGATCCATCCATTCAAGCCACGCGGATGCGTTTACACGTGGCTCCCGTGAAATTGCCGGAGGCGGCTGTGGCGGCTCTGAGTCAGGACCAGGACGACGAGAAAGTTTTGAAGGCACCCACTTCCCTCGACTCTGCAGGAAGGGCTTCAAAAGCCCTTCAAATTAGAGTGCCTGGCCTATGACTGGAATGCATTTCTTCTTTCGCTTTTAGGAATTGGTGACGGAGACTTGCGGATAGAGCTATAAAACACCGAAGCAATCTGAAGCGAACTTGGAAACCAATGACCTGAAGTGGGCCGAGAAGCGCTTCACAGATGGACCTCGTATCCGTCTCGTGTTTTACAGAGTGCATCTCAAGACGAAGCTTCTTGAGATAAGCATGTGCCCGCTCGTAGGAAGGATCTTCTGAAGGGTGATAGCTACTGCTAACAGCCGTTTTTTTGAGAGAGGCCGTGTACGACGTTTCTCGTATCGCTTCTGAAAGAGTTGGAGCGACGAAGCTACTAGTTACTAGTACTAGTCGTTCGGAGTCTCTGACCATATCTAGAGCCTCTGCTGCACTATTACATACAGCATTACAGCAGGGAGCAATCGGAGTTCTGCCGCGCAGCTCTACTCTCTGTGTACGATGCTGAGGTTGAAGAGAGCGGGGCGGCTGCCATTCAAGGTGTGGGACCGGAATCTGTGAACAGCATCATGAAGTCGATCTTCCGGGCCAACCAGCGCATCCTCAACTTCGACGCCGATGCCGACGTCCTTTGGGCTCTCCAAAGCAGAGTGGAATTGGACGGAGGCAATTCAGCCGTGCGTTTTGTTGTCTTCAAGGCTCCGCTATGAGCCTGCTATGAGGATCGCAGAAGTCCAAGCTTGTGACAGCGGCAGGATGCCACACCGGATGAGTGTATGAGCACAAATACAAAAAGGCAATGCATGCACGATTGTGCAAGGGCTGCATGGGATAACGCGTGAAGGGTGGAGAGTGCAGAGCATGTCATGTGAGATGTTCGAAGTACTAGCTGCATCCGAGTGTTAACGTGCACTTGCACACTTCTATCTGTAGATTCGAGACCTCCGCATCAGACCCCATGCGACCGAATTTGTTGCCTCCCGTGCTCTTGTGTGGAGTGAGCATGGGTGAGCCGTAGGCGACAGCTGGCGACGACCCGGAGCGGGAGGAGGTGGTGAGGTTAGCAGGCCTACAGCTTGCACCTTGCGCTCGTCGCTGGCGGTAAAGCCGCTTCTGTAAAACATCCAAAGTTCCAAAGTGATGTATGTGTCATGACAAGCTGAGCCGGCCACTGAAGTGGTCTTTCTCCGCTTGTCTTGCACCCCATGGCAGATGACTCGTCGCGTCTTCTTCACATTTCCAAGCCTCCTCTGTCCCTGATCTCCAAATCCTGCCTCGTCGAGCACATGTCTCTAAGCATAGTGGCTTAGTGGGCTCGACCAAGCAATGCAGGAAGCACAAACCAACAAATACAGCTCGAGTAGGGCACGAAATTTGCCAACCGCTTGCCACCTGTTCAGTTCCCGTGACGATTGGCGCAAGCGAGGAGAGCCAGCCGAGGCTCGGGGTTTTTAGGTGATAGCTGATTACCATTCAGAAGGCAGTACCATCGCTGGTTTATCCGTTTCCGGGCAGCGTAGCTTGTGCAGGACGGCCCGCGCCGCCCAGCTGGTGGAAATGCTGGCGGAAGGCATGCCGTGCATGTGTCGTAGGATTTGCGGACCAAGGAAAACTGACACACGGAGATTGAGACAAGCTGCACGTTTGCGTTTGCTCTAGCGCCGCAGGAATCCGCAAAGCCGTGCCGACGAGGACAATTGGCGCCGGCCAAATGCGGATGCCCGACCCTCGGAACGTTGAGGCTGCTTCTTGTCGCATGTCCAGCTGCATCTCTTTTGGAAGATGGTGGAGCGCATGATTTACCAAACCCTGATAGAACCGAGGTCTCAAGGCCACTGACCGAAACAGAATGCGACACGACTGTAACATGATGCAACATGGCCCCCCAATGGTTGTCAAACGCTTGTGTTGCTTAATGGAAGCCGCTCGGCCTTCCCGTAGGTCATGAAAGGCAAAGTTCGAAGACGACGGCTTCGAAACAGAGAGGCAGATCCTCATGCTACTTGCTAAGGAACCTCGGGGAGATGCCAGGGGAGATGCTGCCCCCGAACGCACGCGACCTCAGCTGATGCTTTCTGGCATACCTGTCGCTTTGGATTCTGGATTGTTGACATGACAGGGAGAAGTAATTCGATCAAAGCCACAAAACCTTCGATCTGCGACTCAAGCTTGCAGGGTCACTTGATGAAGTCTCCAAAAACCAACATTGAACCAGGCAAGGAGCCGTGGCGACCCTCTCGCTCGAAGGGCGAGGGCCGTGAGGGTGAAAACCCAGGCGGAGACGGCGAAAAGAGCGAGATCATAGAGTCATTCCTGAAAATGTGTTCTTGATGCAGCGCTTGGTCAGGCCCGTGGCGTCCTTCACGCAAGGGTGAGGGCCGTGAGGAGCGGGAGGAGCCAAGAGCCGGTGCAGGCCGCGGCCCGGTCGCCACCATTGAGCTTCCTTGATCTGATCTAATCTAGCGTAGTCTGGAGCCAAAGCTTTGCACAACTGCTTCTGCAAATTGGGACACCAAGATGTAAATCGATTGTACCGTGTTTCCAGGCGGAAAGGGCAGTGGCGGCGGCCGTGGCGGCGATGATGATGCAGGTAAGCGGAACTGGAGTCACCAAACGACAGCTGCGACGGCGCACATGGGGTGTTGTATATGAGGTTTAGGAACTGGAAGTTGGGAAGGGTTCGAGCTTTCGTAGACGACTTTGGAGCCAACTCCCGAGCCTGCCTGTGATATCGGTCTGGGGGTAAATTATGAAACAGTGCGACAAGGGATATCCCGGTTCCCGGTGAGCAAAATTGAAGTCTGTCGCTATTGTGCTCAAGCCGAAGGCTTTCGTTCTCTGCGTCATCGGTTTCAAAACGATTGTGATGATTCGGATCACGAAAACAACAGCATTGCTGGCTGCCTGTCCGGTATCTGGCTTTCATTGCGTCAGATCCCGACTGAAAATCGCCGCCCCTCGGTATCCCCTGCCAAACAGTAACAAGAGTAAGTGACTAAGATCCAATAGCTGCGAGGGTTGCGAAGCTTCATCGGAGAGTCCGGGCAGGGAGCTGGCGCCGACCCGGAGCTGGAGGCCGCACCGAGAACGCCGACAGCTGGCGACGCGTGGGACCCCTCAGTCCACCCCCGATTGGGCGAGGCTCCGTGCCATCCCGTGCCAAGGACGACGCTCCAAGAAGGCAGGGGTCGCAGCGCGAGGACCGTCGGATAGGTCTGGGAAAGGAGAGCAAGAAGCTTTGGGCTGAGACCTGACATTTTCTACAAGGAGGATGGCGGATTTCGCCGTTCTGATTCTCGCCGAGAGGACACTTATCAGATAAGAGGGCCACTGACCGCCAACAGGTTTCCTTGCAGGTGTTCAAACTCATGGCCGAGCTCCAAGAGCCCGCGATCCTCTTCTGTACCCCGGTCTTGCATAAGAGCTCCAGCAGGTCAATCTGGGCGTCAATTCAATAACTCCAATCCCCCAGTTTACGGAGTTTGGGCGAAAGCTTTGAAGAAACTCGCCTTTTCCAACTGCTCCCCAAGCCCATAATTCTGTGGTGTGGGTGTGGCGCCACAATTAGGACATTCAGGTGGCCATTGTGGCAGTACCCGCACTTTTTTACGACGAAGCTTTTTTCTTGAGGCCGTGCTTGCTTGAGCTGTGCCCTGGCTGTTTCTGGATCGAGCCAACTCACGTGAGGAGAAGCCCGCTGACGAAGGCCCTCGCCGAGCTCCACCGCGCGAGGCCGACTTGCAGAAGACGGATATAGGTCGCCCGGTCCCCCCTTCCCCCTGGAGCATACATGAGTCATGCCTTCTGCCCCGCATGTGCTGCACAGCTTGGCAGGAAGCACGTGCACCTGCGCGCGAGGTGGCGGTTGCGGATTTGGGCATTCAAAGCGGCTTCAGAGTTCCAACATGTACTTCTTGTAGCCACATGCTCACGGAGGCTGCAGCCCCTGCGTGCTTTGATTCGTTCAGATCTGACGGCTCTTGTGGCTCTTCGGGGCTTTGCCCAACATTGAAGAAGTTGCAGTCGCCGTGTGTTCCGGTCAAGCTACAGCAGTGCCAGCATCGCATCTTTTTGCGAGGAGAACCCTTGATATATCTTGTTATAGGTTCCGCCGTTTAGCAGGGCTCGAAGTACAGCTCGGAGGGCCTGGGCCCGGGCCCTCGAGCCTCACTCCGCCCCAGCTGCAGGCAGTGGGCAGCTCGGAAAGCGTCAAGTTTCGCCGCAGTTCGGATCAGTTCGGCTTTCGGCTTTTTCTAAATCTTCTTTTTTGCGCCTTTCACTTGCTATGTGAGGCCCTGCCTCTCTTGCCATGGCGGGGGTGATCGCCCAGCTGCCTGGTGGCACCTCTCGTTTCGTCCCAGTGGAGCCATCGCACCTCGGCAGGGTTTCAGTGGAAGGTGAGTGAATAAACGTCAGACAGGGACCGCTTGGTGGGCTTCAGCAGCGGACAGTGACAGAATTCGTTGGATTGTGTGGGAGTATTGCCGCTGGAGATGCACACATCGCATCCACGTGTGCCAGCGAAATCCCGCGAGCGCTCCACTGATTCGACTCAAAAACTTCTTCGGGACGCCTATCGAGGTCTTTGTCTTTGCATGTAACGTTTTCTCTGTCTCAACTGTGTCCGGGTGCCCGTGTGTGTCTGTCTGTCTGCTTGGGTGTGTGTCCGTCAGTCTCCCCGTCCGTGGTTTCCTCCTGCACGAGAGCGTGCGCTCGCAGGTGCATGATGGAGTTGCTTATTCGTGCGTGCCTGCGCGCGTCTGCTCATGTGCGCGTGTGCATGTGGGCGCATTTGTGTGTCTGTCTATGTTCGCATCAGAAGTAGACCACTGGCTCGCTAGCTCCTTCATCGATCATTGAATCCGAATTATTGCGACTGCCCAAAGAGATGTCAGCCACAACGCACCGAACTGACACCCCAAGCTGGTACCACCACCCGGTTTGCTTCGTTGAGTGGTGGCTCCAGAAAAATGCGCCACTTCGTGCTTTAGCACAAGATCTGAGGTGTAGTCATGTCGGTAGGATGCCTGAAGTTATGCATTCGCATTTCTGCGTTTTTGCTGTGAACTTGATCTTCGTCTGGCGTGGTCCTGATCTGGATGCTTTGACCCTTGGGCTAGGGACCATAGGGGAATGCTCTGGTGGCATGGATGCAAAAACTGCCATGGCCGTGGCGTCCTAAACGCGCACGTGGCTGTGTGTTTGTGTGTGTGTGTGTGTGTGTATGCGTTGCCACCTTCTCTCTTTGTTTGTGTGTGTGTGTGCCCGCTTTCGCGAGCATGCATGTTGATGTGCACATGTATAATTGCGGGCCTGTTCATGCCTGCCGCACAGATCTACACACCCTTATTTGAGTGCAAAGTGAACGGCCACGTGCCTACGCTGCAGGCTTCTCGGAGGCCCTTTGGACACCGCAGAGCTTCTTCGGCACTTCCTTGACGCGGAGCTTTTTGCGAGGAGGCCGAGCTGGTGTTCAATACCTGTTCGAGACAATCGGATTTGCAGATGTGGGTCGGAGCTTTGATTGAACAGTGAATCTGCTCGACCTCGAAGCCATTGTCCAGATGTCCAGCATGCTTTTAAGACAAGTGAGCCAGTGGTCAGCAAGAGGTCGGCCTCCACCTCCAGCGACGATGCGGCTTGGCTAAGCTGACAATGCTCTGTTCCGTTTTTAAATGCCTCCGGAGAATTCAATTTCATTCAATTTCAGCAATTCCCGCTTCGGTATGACCTCTTGCTGAGGACGTGGAGGAGCTCGCATCGGCCTTCGGCCACCTCGACCTCGAGGAGGGGTGAATGTACCTTGCAAACGAGCCACACGACAAGATCAGACTGTGAGAGCATCAAAGAGCATCAGAAAGCATCAAGCTGCGTGGATAGCGGGATCGATTCTTCAGCAAAATCTCCGGCCTGACATGGCAGGAATCCATCGAAGTGGAGGAGTACCGCGTACTTTATCAGGGTCGGGATCTGGAGTGCGAGCTACTTATGCGGCACTGATGGCGACAATCAACTCCCAACCGAAGTCTTGGATGGGGTGCCCCAGCAGGTGTGCGTCCGACTGCTGTAATTAGACTTTCTTAGCTTGATCTCAGGAAGACGGCCGCGCAATTTCTGGAGTCTCTTGATGCTGGACGGCAAGTCAGTTAGCAGAACCCTTGCCCGTTTTGGGTGATAATGCCACCAGCCCATCACTAACCCACAATGCAGAAGATTTCTCCTATACTCCCCCCTTCATCAGCGGTTGGTTCGTATATGTCAATAAAATCTCGTGAATATAATCAGTCTGCTGAATATTGTTTTTGCACTTTTTTCTCGTCAGCCTCAACTCTTTCACATAGCATGTCCTTAAAGGTTCTCATCGCCCTCTCAGTGAAATTTGCATGTGCCCTTGTCCTGTGGTGCTGCATTATCTGTTCTTTAAATCAGTTTGTATAGACTCTTTACATAAAGCACCTTCATCGTCGGTAAAGATTTTTTCGGCGTTTTCCCATGCTATGCAGACACTCAATCATTCCACTTGCTAAATCCTCTTCTTTTTACCTTTTATTGCTACAACATGCACGAACTTGTCAAAAACGTCTATCATGACCATACCAACCTTAAGCTCTTGATCTTCCAAATCATGTTTCAAAAACAAGTCCATCTGATACTCGTATGCTTGTCAACACCGGATGTCACTTAAACTCCCTGCTTCGTGTACTCAGCCATGCAGGAGGCAAAAAGATACTCGTATGCCGAATGGGGTGCTACAAAACAAACTGTTCTGCCCTGCAGGTTTTCTTTTGGCCTCCACGTTCGCCTTAAAAAATCATTAACATCGTCAATAGTTATACTTGTATCTTTCTCCTGCACTTCCTTTAAGGTCCGCCTTCTGCTCCCAAATCCCGCAAGATCGTGATTCACATCATGATTCTTTTCTTGTTTACTAATACAACTATAATACAAAATTACTGATTTAATCTTATGTCTAAAATTGAATCCGCCTTCTTCTGATTTCATGGGCATCACAACCTTAACAGTATTCATGTCATACTTAGGTCCTTTCTTATTCTGACTGCTGTTGAATTCTGCCGGTTGCTTTTTGGTTAAACTTTTTATCGTGGCATTGACATTGTTGTCTTTTGGATTTTGTTTTACCTTCTGCGATTGAATGCGCTTCAAGGCAGAATCGCGCTTTTTCTGCATATATCCTTGCTCTCGTCTTCGCTTGTAGTGGGACAGCCGGTTGTAAATTTCCAGCTACGTGCTTGTTTTTTCCGTGGTCATATCCTCTAGGGTTTTCATAGACATAGTACTATAGTATATGTTAGAATATTTCGTTAAGTGAGTTTTCTGAGCAGATTTTCACAAACAAAATATGTAGCTCAAAAAACTCCAGAAAAACATTTAAATATACAGTTATTGTATAATCTAAAGACATGAGGAAGACCAACGTGGTGTAAACGCATTAGAGACATTGTATGATGTGTAATAAAGGCAGAGTTAACAGAGCAACCAACATCAAAATCAGAAATATCATCGGCTTATACGATGACAGAAAAGTAGCACAGTTCACATCAGCGGGCAAAACAACCAGGAGCTTCATCAACGCCAAGACAGACCAACAAAAGCAAAAGGCAAGTGACCAATACAACAAGGTATACGAAAAACCAAGGAAAAGACACCACTGTGCGAAAGAATGCAAACAGCAAAGCGCGACAACAAACTCACAGAAATCCGCAGACGACTAACACCGAAGACCGCAGCCCAGCGAATACAGAAGAGGGCAAGAACAGAACAACCCAAAAAAGCACAGGTATACTCCGTAGACCTTATGTTCCTCGAATTTGACTTCCCCACGGATACCATTCAAGCATCCTTCAAAGACAGCAAGGGTAGACCCTAATCCCGATTTGGCATGATACTAAGAAAGCAATTACTTAAAAAAAGAACAGACTATGTGAAAGACTTATCGGGCAGGCTTGTCTTTCAATACGAGACTGAAGACAGGTATCTTTTCAAGAGGCTGACGAAAACAATAATGTCTGGCCCAGATATTGAGGAAACCCTTCGCTTCCTATGTGAGCATGTTCCACAGATATATACAGACACCTTTAAACCCAGAATACGAAACGCTAAAGGAAGCAATCAACTTAAACCGCTACCAAGAAAACCAGTGTTAGTGAGTTCGAAAACCAAGACCAGTAAAGATTGTGTATGGAACAAAAAGCAGGGAAGTATGAACAGGGACATTATTAACTGCTATGAAAGACCTATTACAAAATTGGAAGAAGGAAAGAAAGTAGAGGCACTAAAGAAGAAAAGGAAATGTCAGTGTTGTAGTTTTGCTACTTTGCATTGTTGCCCTTTGCCTATGTTTTCATAGTATTGCTATTTTGCTTGAGCATTATTGCCGTCCGAGTGTCGTCTACATGAACATTAGGTGAAAAGATGTATCCTCTCTCAGACGACCCTTTGTAGAGTAACAATATTAAGTTCTGGATCAGTACTGAAATACCACCAGAACCAGAAGCCACACAAAACATTCTTGCGGGTAGATTTGGCATTGTATTTGGGCATATCTATAGTCGATAGGTTCTACTTTAGGAATATCTTCATTCATTAACCTAATATATAAATATTTTCCGCAGTCTTGTGCCACAAGGAACAAGTCTCGTGTGTTTAAGCACGACAGAACCCCATCCTTGCAAGTGAGAGCCCGAGTATTCTAAAACATCACTGCATCATAAGCATATAGTCAATTTGTTTGGCATCAATGCTTTTCATAATGAATGCATCATGAAAATATTGTAAGGGGATATAACATGACAAGATATGTTGATAACATGACGAAGAATCCATGGATTTTAAGACTGAGCATTCCCCTCCTCATTGTGATCAGTAATGTGTTAGATGTAAAGAATGGAAGAAGTTGGTGCATTTCAAAAGATATTGTTATTGTAAAACGGGTAGGTATTTAGTGCAGTATAGAACCACGGTTACTTGTTGTGAATGTCTTGATAGCACGAAAAATACAACGATAAACGGTAAAGTTAATTAAAACCATAAGTACAATGTATGGAACATAGTTTATTATGATTACAACCTTTTGAGACCAAACCTAATAATGTATATGAAAGAACCTTTGCCCACTTTGGAATGATAATACCACCTTAGGGAATATGGATGCGGTAATTGGTTATTCCTATACTGGTCTTGGTAATGGGGTAGTAGTGGTATTTGAGGGAAGTGTTAGGGAGTATAGGAATACTCCTCTTATATGGATGAGGGAATCGGTCACTCCTATACTAGTATTGGTAATGGGGTGTAGTGGTGATATAGTTGGTGAAATGTGTGGGGGGGGTATCGGAATAATCTTCTAATGGGTGGGTTAGCGTAGGCTGGTGGTATTACCACCCAAACCGGGCAAGGGTTCTGCTAACTAAGTCAGGATCCGATTCAGCCTGTACTTTGGAGTGAGCATTTGACGGAAGCCTGCCCACGCATGCACTGTATAACAGTATCACTTTATATCACATCAAGATGCAGCTATGCAGCCTGCAAGGAAGATGGACGGCCTTGCTTCGTTCGGATATCTTTTCGTCTTCTGGGTGGATCTTCAGCTGCATAATCGCGGCCCGCTTGGGCTCATGCCCCACTCAGCGGTTTGCAGTGCAGTACGTCAGCCAGTCCGTGAGGGAGGTTGTTCTAGGTTGGCTACCTTTGCCGTTCCGCATCACGCAGACAAGACGCACGTGCGAGACAGCCTGTGTGCTCCTGTGGCATAGGTAAGGGCGGCTTCGGGTCCTTGCTACGCTCACAAAAGGGAGGTGCCGCTGCAGCAGAAGCTCGCATATCTTTAGTCCTATGTCTTGTTCACTATTCGATGAGTTACGATCGCGATATTTATTGCAACGGAACAGGCAAGAAGACGACAAACTTCGATGCCATGCGCGACCTGAACGGTCGAAGGGTTCGGCATGTGAAAGCAGCCACTTGGCTAGAATACAGAAGGATGGTCTGTGCCAAGCATGCCACCTGGCAGTTCAGCTGTGCTCACACGTGCTTCACATTTTGATTGAGTCATCGTCCTGGTCCTTCAAGAACCGCGAAAAGCACTTTTTCTTGCATCTGTCTACTCGTACGCAGAATTTCGATGAGGTCGAAAGAATCAAGGAGTGGCTGGAGAAGAAGAAGAGAGCGACCAAGCTGCACAAATGCTGCAGCAGCTTGTGTCGTGATGATACGGTGTCCTTTGTCATCATCTTCGTCGTCGTCGTAGTAGTTGGAATAGGAGCAGGAGTAGGAGTAGGAGTAGGAGTAGGAGTAGCAGCAGCAGCGGCAATAGCAGAAGCAGTAGTAGTAGTAGTAGTAGTAGTAGTAGTACTACTACTACTACTACTACTAAGTAGTAGCAGTAGCAGTAGCAGTAGCAGTAGCAGTAGCTGTAGCAGTAGCAGTAGCAGTAGCAGTAGCAGTCGTAGTAGTCGTAGAAGTCGTAGTAGGAGTAGTAGGAGAAGTAGGAGGAGCAGGAGTAGTAGTAGTAGTAGTAGTAGTAGTAGAAGGAGTAGTAGTAGTAGTAGTAATAGTAGTAGTAGTAGTAGTAGTACTAGTAGTAGTAGTAGTAGTAGTAGTACTAGTAGTAGTAGTAGTAGTAGTAGTAGTAGTAGTAGTAGTAGTAGTAGTAGTAGTAGTAGTAGTAGAGGTAGTAGTAGTAGTAGTAGTAGTAGTAGTAGTAGTAGTAGTAGTAGTAGTAGTAGTAGTCGTAGTAGTAATACTAGAAGAGGTAGTAGTAGTGGTAGCAGATGTACAAGAACTAGAAGCAGTAGAAGTAGTAGTAGAAGAAGAAGATAGAATACATAGTAGTGGTGGTGGTAGCCGTAGTGGTACCAGGAGTTGTCGTCGCCGTAGTAGTTTTCGCGGCAGTAGTCGTAGTAGTGGTAGTAGTAGTAGTAGTAGTGGGAGTTGTAGCAGTCGTCGTTGTGGTAGTCGTAGTAGTTGTAGCAGTTGTTGTAGTGGTGGTCGTGGTGGTGGTGGTGGTGGTGGTCCTGGTGGCGCGCGGTCGTGGTAGCGGTAGCGGTAGTGGTAGTGGTAGTGGTAGTGGTGGTAGTAGAAGTAGTAGTAGGAGTAGGAGCAGGAGTGGGAGTGGGAGTAGGAGTAGCAGCAGCAGTAGCAGTAGTAGTAGTAGTCGTAGTAGTCGTAGTAGTAGTAGCAGTAGTAGTAGTAGTAGTAGTAATAGTAGCAGCAGTAACAGTAGTAGCAGTAGTAGTAGTAGTAGTAGTAGTAGTCGTAGTAGTAGCAGTAACAGTAGTAGTAGCAATAGTAGTAGTAGTAGCAGCAGTAGCGTGGACGCGGCTTATGGTCGGGGCCAATGGCCAATTCACACTATCCATTGGCCAAGATGATCGCTACACCGAGCTCAAGTCCACCACGACCTACTATGGCATAGTGCACGCCCTCTTTCAGAAAATGTGGGATCATCCGGACATGAGCGCACTGCTCGAAACGGATGACAACTTCGAGATCGTGGCCTCCACCTTCAAGTGCATCTATGACCAGTCCTCCAGGAATAGTGGCGGCCAAAATCGCGCCATCTTTTACCAGCCTCGGGATGGACAAGTTGTCCGCAAGCTCCGTATCGAACACAACAAGGGCGACACGGCCACCTACCAATGGCATCGTCAACGCGAGCTACGTGAGCAGCGTGAACAGCGAGACAAGCGCTCTGGTGAAGAGACACAGTCTCACACAGACAAGCGCTACAGAGACGGCGATGCCTGGACCCGAGGAGGGTGGTGGAATCGTGGCTCGGACTCGGGGGCCAGTGGCAGCCGCTCCTGGCACCAGTGAGCTCCAACTTTGATCACCGGTGCCAATGGCAACCTATGCAGTGTAATGCGGAGGCCATGCCTGCATTTCTACTTCGTTTCTTCCGGAACGGACTGACGGCCTTTCTGCTGATTGCCGCCGCTGTCAGAGAAAAACATGCCTCGCCTTCTGCCAGTCGCAGAACTGTGCCTCTGCTACTAGTGCTGCATCATCACTATCCTCGCTCAGGTACACACAACAATCTGAAGCTTGATGCCTGGCAGCCTACCAACTTGCTTCGGCTGACCACTGCCAGTTAGCTTGAAGCCTGTAGGCCGCCAACACCCAAAGGTCTTCGACCTGGGCTGTTCAGCTATAGGGTCTGAGTCAGTTTCACACCATGTGAGTGCACCGCGGCAATCGCCCGCTATGTGCTGAGCCCGCTCGCACAGCGTTCAATTGAAAAAATAGCAGCAGTAGCACTAGCAGCAGCAGTCGTAGCAGTCGTAGTAGTCGTAGCAGTAGGAGTAGTAGGAGCAGTAGGAGTAGTAGTAGTAGTCGTCGTCGTAGTAGTAGTCGTAGTAGTAGTAGTAGTAGCAGTAGTAGAAGTAGTAGTAGTAGTAGTAGTAGTAGTAGTAGTAGTAGTAGTAGTAGTAGTAGTAGTAGTAGTAGTAGTAGTAGTCGTGGTGGTGGTGGTGGTGGTGGTGGTAATTGTAGTTATAGGTGTAGGGTGTTGGTAGATGTCGGGGTAGGAGTAGTGGTAGTGACTGACTAGTGGTAAAGGGTTAGTAAGTGAGTAGGTAGGAGTTAGTAGTTGGTAATTACTCGGTCCTAGTAGTTAGTAGTTAAGAGCAGCAGCAGTAGCAGTAGTAGTAGCCAGCAGCAGTGGCAGTAGCGACAGTACAGACAGGAGGTGTATATTTTCGGGGTTGTGAGTCGTGAATGATACCAGCGGACACAGTCACGTTCTTGTCTCTGCAGATGAAGGCCGGTTCAGGCTAGTTGTCCGCCTGCTGGCGTGCGCAGACAGCAGGACCATCAGGGTCGGACAAAGACAAAGCTTACAATCTTGCAGAGCATGCTGCCAACATCGTCGCGTGGCGTCGTCCGAGCCGCGAGAGTCGAAACTTTCCAAGGTTGACGTTGCCATGGTCTGTTGGTCATTTGATGCCGTTTTGTTTGATTGCCGATGTCGCCCTTGTACCACTGAGCGATTGGTTCTCGTGCTCGCGATGAAAAGTGTTGGGGTATCCTGTGTCTCGGTTGAATCGAATGGAATGCTGAGCTTCGGACGGAGACTCCGAGCAGTGAGAGCCACAAGCTTGCATCTCCGTCCGTCTGTCAAAAGTTTATCTGTGTCCGTCTGTATGTCTGTCTGTCAGTCAGTCAGTCAGTGCCAAGTGTTAAATAACAGATTAACAGATATAAAGGCGAATTACATCGAATATTTGCGCAGACATGCATGTGTATATATATATATGTATATACACAAACCCATGAGGTTGCTAGATCTTTTTCTAGTTCTCTCTGTGTGTGTCTGTGTAAACCGAGAGAAAGAGAGAGCCAGAGAGGGAGAGGGTGCAGGACCTACACGGAGCGGGGGCTAGGGGGTCCCCTGTCCTCTACCTCGATGGGGAGCCCACATCCTTAACGAAGGAAAGAGAGACGGGATGAAAGAAGACAGAACAGAAAAAACACACGCCTTTCAGGAAGATGAGCTGGTGAACCTGCTCACAGGCGAGGGCCCGGAGCTGCCAAAGCCGACTCCAGAATCCGAGCCTTCGGATGACACAACCGAAGTATGTCAAGTGCAAGCAAAGATGCCCTCGTTCAAGCAAGCCTCGGGGTGCGCTCAGGAGAGCCTGGATCCGGAGTTCGTGCGCAAGCTGAAGCGCTCAGCCCAGAAGTCCTCCTTGGTCAGCGAAGGCCTGGAGGAGTTGCACTTCTAGAGGCTCCAGAGCTAGATCCCGCCATTTCCTTAGTACTAAAATACGTAGACCTTGGTATACTCTGAGTCCGTTGCAGGTAGTGCAGGGCTCGAGCAACAAGTGGTTATTGAGCCAAGCTACTCAGTCTGTGCTCTTATGGTTGATGTCTGATTTGAAATTTGGTGGTGCTGCATCAAACTTCCACGCCTGCAGGAATCCAGCGCTGGATCAGCGTGACTTGCAGAAAAAGCGTTTTTTGTTTCGGCACCCTTGGACTGTGTTGGACATGCAGGTTCCCACTCGAAGCATGTATCCTGAGCATCTACCAATCACGGGACATAAAGCCAGACCTCTGTCTATCCATGTCGTCCATAATTTTCATGATTGCGGAAGGGCTGATCTGCCCTGCAAAAACAAAAATGGAGGGGCATCCGATGTGCAGACCTCCCTTGCTCCAAGGAGAAGGACACAGAATCCGAGGATCCGAAGCGGCCCCGTACCGAGGCTTGATCTCAAGCGCCGCGATCTCTGGTAAGCCCAGAAGCAGTGCTGAAAGGGCTGCATCGTTGCTGCATATGCCCTGCCTGGAGTGCCACATGCTCGTGTCCCGCTTGGCGATGCATTCAGTCCCAACATGCAGATGGAACACGAGGGCCAAGGGGTGATGAACATCCGAACCAGTTCCGTACTCCCTGATGACAGGCTCTACTCATCCAAGCTTTGAGGCATTGTAAGGTTAAAACTGCCAGGTCTCACATTCTCGAACTTTACACCTGCAATTTCTCGACTACATATCTCGCTTTCTAACTCGAGATGTGCAACTTTCCGTTTTCTGAACCGTCGTTCTGGGAAACTTGTATTTCTTTCGACTCAACACTCGCGCGCGACACGTGTTAACTGGTATGTTCCTCTGCTCGCACGGCATGTAGTGGCCCTACAAAGAAGACCTTTGCAGCAGGAGCCTAGCGCCAGCAGCTCTGCTGGGCCCGCCAGCGCTTCCAGCGCTGTCGGGGCAGCAGTGGACAAAGAGGAAGACGAGGACGCTGATGACGACGATGGCGTGGATTGGATGGGTGCCATGAGTGCGCGGCTGGTCTCATGTTGTATGGAGTCGAAGCATGTGCGCTGGAGCGGAAGACCTGAGTCAGGTTTGTAGGGTAGGTAAAGGCGTGCCCAAGCACGCAAAAACTGCACACACGAAAGCTCAGGCTGCAAGGCCTCAGCAGTCCAGAGCCGGAAGAGGACCTTGTGTCCGTTTCGACTCAACATTCCGCTTTAGGCTCGAAGTTCTCTTGTCACGGATCTGCCCCGACACCAACTCGACAGTTCCAGTCTTGCCGAGAGGAGGGTGCGTCCTCGGGAGCCAAGCGCTCCGACTGAGTGGCTGCAACAGCTTTGACACGAAGTCTTTCTGTTCGAGCTATGCAGCCGAAAGCCAGCGTCACCATGCTGTGTTTTGGGTGTTCTATCTATACCAAGACAAGATATCTCTAATGACTCTAGTGCAGCAACGACGTATGCAATGTATGCATGACAGCCTCCCAGCTCTGCTCATACCGACTTGACAGCAGCGGAGACCAAAATAGTGCCTCTACATTGCGATCAGCGGCAGATTGCGTGATACGGGATGTTTTCTGTCCCTTTGAATGTGTGTGTATATATATATATATATATATATGTGTGTGGGTGTGTGCCTGGGCGTCTCTGTGTGTGCCTCCGCGCATGTGTGCGCAAGTGCGTGCAACACCTGAGAAGGAGGGTCCACAACTACGCAATGGGTGGAGTGGTAAACCGCCCACATATATTCCAACACGGAGAGCGGCTTCGTGCCAGCCACAGCCACTCTCTTGGACTCAGAGCAAGCATGATTCCAGAGAAGATGAGGCTGTCACTGTCTCAACAGCCGATATGTAGCACCCCTTTCTGAACTCATCATTCTGCACCGGCCTTGCATGTAGTTGCATTTGCTTCGTTTCCGGACTCCATCGGAAGTGCCGGCGCGTGTCTTTGCCAGGAACGTCCGGCGCCTGCCCCAGAACCTGCTGCACCTGAACCCGCGGGCGGCGATGATGATGAAGGCCTCAGCTTAGCGGGCTTGGCGCTCATCTGCCGATGGCTAAGCGGCTAAGCGGCTAAGCCAACCAAAGCATTCCGTGAAGTCTCAAATCGCAGCCGTTCTCGTGCAGGATGGGGCGTTGTTGCAGGGAAGAAGAAGCGTGGCAAGGCACTCCGGACTTTCTCGAGATTGTATTCAATTCGGCAAGGGAGGGAGCTCGAGGCAACGAGGCTGGAAACTGGAGCGGGCTTGTAGGGCCGCGAGAGGGCACACAATAGTCAGGATCCCCGAGGTGTCTGATCTGCACTCTGTCCGGCACCGGACGAGTACTTGTCACGAACCTCAGAATCTCAATTACTTGTCGCCAGGCAGCCGGGGGTGGTGAGGCACCCGCCGAGGAGCGCTATCGAGCGAGGAAGTTTGTAAGCTTCATGGACAAAGCTCTCGGCTCTGCCCCCTACATCAGTTTGTTGTGGTCAAAGGGTCGCAGGCAGCTCTCACGAAAGTGCTTTGCTGCAATCAGAACTGAAATCAACAAGAGAAGTGTGCTGCAGCTGCAGGGACCGAACCTGGGTTTGCCACATGTTGTATCTCCTGAAAGGTCTATGCTGCAAAATGCACACACACTCATGCCTATGCCTGCTTGCTTTGAGTTACCACTTGATTTGTCCGTGCTTTCTTGTGGAGGTTCTCGTTGCATCCTCATCCTCGGCGTTTTCGTCACAGCGTCTGTTACCATGACCATTTAACTTCAGCTATGTAATTTCCCGACACACGATCAGCTCTCCATGTGCAAAGCTGGACCATCGGCACGGCAACAGTTCGGGCCTTTACATGTTACATGCGAGGATGCGGAGTGGCGCACGCAAGGGCCCCGCCGCGGCGGTCGGGCTCTCAGCAGCTGTGCGTTTGCCAGAGTTGCTGTCCCAGCTGAATCTGCAATCCATATAATTATGCAGCGCTCGTGGCTTCTTTAGAGGTGTCTGTCTCTGTGTTGGTGCACAGGGATCAGGCAGCTGGGCCCAGATCTCACATCAGTAGGCAAAGAGTGAGCAGGATGTTTGGAATCACGTGCCTGCGTGGCTAATTTGTCCCGCATCGCAACTTCGAAGGCGGCATTTAGATGCATTAAGTGTAGGAGCGCTGTGGCTTGTAGAGAGCCGAATTCACATGTTGAGTGTTGATCACCGAAGAGAGGGCAGCAGAATCCAAGAGATGCTTTGACCTCGAGCTCCCAGCGTTGCTGAGGTGGTAAAGGCAATGGAAGCGCGGGAGGAGAGGAGCAGAGGCCGACTCCCCCGTGGAAGAGCAACAAGCCGCAGCAGCCTCGGCAGCCTCGGCCGAAGTCCTCCGAAGCACGAGATGCGAATGCGCACCTTCCGAGTCTCGCGGGGCCCCGCACCCAGGAAATGAGATGGGACATGCTGGCACACGACCTGCAGTCGACGTCTCAAAGTCGGCTGTCGGGTCTCTTGCAAGTGATCAGCTTGAGAAGCTCTTCCTTGGCTGCAACATGAGCTTCCCGTGCGGCCAGAACAGTCTTCGGACTCTTTAGGTTACTTCTCCAGCAGAGATGTGAAGTTTTGCGGGCGGTGACTAAGGAAGTTTGGAAGGCAGTCGTCGTAAACCTGCCTCCTGGGAGTGAGAGATCCCAGGCACTGCCGTTCAGCGCACTGGGAGCCTCGGTCATGCTATGCGTTGTCCTACCAGGTTTCGACCTTCAATTGTGCATGTCCTCTCAGTGCTGCTGTTCAGACTTCCTTTGACAGTGAGGTGGATGAGTAGAAGTGGACTGGCAGAGAGAGTCTTGAACAGTCACCGCCCGTGATGTGTCTTCTGGCTCTGGCATTTCCGTCGCAACATTCGCAGCTCATGCACGGTGATTCTTGAGCTCTTGTGGGCAGCCTCTTATGATGCTGTCTGCAAGACACAGCCTGTCCACTTCGACGTTTTGTGACCGCATGGTGTCAAAACCTGCGATGCGTCCTCGACAGCACTGATTGCAACGCACGTCGTGATGCAAAGGCAAATGACATGGGCCCAAAAACAGTACCTACTGGGTAAGATGATATCATGCTGGCCTAGCGGTTGGGTGGTCTGTGTGCACCCTGATTTTGAGTGTGTGTCGCCGTTTCGCAGCTCTGGAGCCTCTGTGAAATCTGAGTCCTTCCGCGCGTTGCGCCTAGCAGAAAAGCAATGATGCACGTGGCTGTGGTTGGTGTTTCTGCCGTTTCAGCCAGTTCGCAGCAGTTCGCTTTGTTTCAAGCATCTTCATTTCACCAACTCTTCACCGATTCATGGCTCAAAGTCTGCTGAATGCTGCTCCAACGAGCCGACAAACGAGTTCACACAGCAAGCAGCCACGAGTTCCGTTTACACTTGATATAAAGGTGCTCGTAGTTCGCCAGCTGGCAGCATGGCAGCCAAAAAGCGTCCAGCGGTTGCAGGCTCTTCGAAATCAGCTGGTCGAGCAAGCAAACCTCAGCAGGGCGCGAGGGCGTCCGCATCGAGGACCGTATCAAAGACAGCTACGTCGAAGACGGCTGCATCGAAGGCGAAGAGCTCGCAGACGAGTAAGTCTGGGCCTTGGCGTGCTGCTACACCTCAGTGGTTGGGCAGACGCCTTGATTCATGCGTGAGGACGGAGGTCCCAGGCAGAGAAGCGCAAATCATGCAGCGTTTATGTAGAGTGACCCCACAGGCTGTGCTGCTGTGTTCAGGTCTCTGAAAAAGTTGGGTCTGGACATCGAGTCCTTCAAGGAGTCATCTGATCATTAGTGCATGTGGATTGATTCCAGGTTTAGTCAGGGACAGTCGTTCAAAACCTTCTACCAGAACGCGGTCAATGTTGTGTTAAAACGCTACAAGTTAGCGCTTGGCCCCAGGAGCTTGGCTCCTTTGCCTCGGCAGGGTTGGAGGCAGTTTGACACAGACAGGGATAGAGTTAGACCAAAAAGGAGACGTAGGTGGGAGAGAGAGAGAGAGAGAGCCCGGTGTTCCGTGCTCAATGCTGTGCTCGACTGAATCCAAAAGACCATCCTACAAACGCTTTCAAGTTGCTGTGGGATGGATGCATGTGTCGTAGCAATGATTGATAACCTCCGAACTCCTAGAATCAAACAAAATGAATTTGCTGTCGGGGGATAATCGATCATTTATTTCACAACCCCTTCAATGCCCCATAGCAGATGGGGGGCCCATGAGGCCGAGGGGTTTAAACCGCCCCCTACGCCCTGGTGAAGAAGAGCCCACCGGGGAACACCCCGCGGTCGGCGGCAACAATGGCAACAGAGGATTCTGGTCTGTTCCGCCTACCGCTCATGCATATCGTTGCTTCTGTACTTGTGAACTTTCTTTCGATACGAGCCAAGTTTCCGAGGGCAGCCCAAATTTCTAGGGGCAATCCGTGTGTGAATGCAACTTCTTGCCACGCGCACCTGCCGGGGGCGCACAAAGCGCTTACCCCTTCACCGTAGCCCTGGCGAAAGAAAGAGAGAGCAGAAAAGACGGGCGTGGTACTCGGCTGGGCAATGCCGAGCCATGTGGAGTATGTGCAGATGTCACACTTCAAGTCGCGAGTCGTTGCTCGTGGATCTCGCACAGAGCAGCAGCTTGACAGTTCCACACACACTTAAGTGAAAGGAAGGCAAGAACAATTATTGCGGTGGCAACATGGACGATGATGACCTGGAGCCGCGGTACAGGGTTGGAGACCCCGCAGAAGCACTCGCCACCGAGATCTTGTGCGGCCGGCAGGTAGGAACCAAGACAAGGCAAGCGATAAGTAAGGACTTTGGGACTGTAAGGATTGCATGAGGTTGGGTGAAAGGGCAGTAGCTTGCACAGCGTGTCAATGCCACGCTTCACGGAGCTTCGGCAGTAAAGGTGGGTCAGACGTTCGTGAAGCCACCTCGGCAGTGGGAGGGGATGAGACTGGCGTGTTGTGGTAGCCGCGGTACCACCCAGCACCTGCAAAAAGGGTCACCGAGGTTACTCGAAGACTTCCAAGGGCGCACACTTGTGCGGAGGGGTTCATCCGTCTAGGCCCGCACCGAGAAGGAGCAGAACAAAATTACAAAAAGTTGGTCAGAGTCCCTGTGAAGGGGGAGTCTTGCCCTGACCAACTGTTTGTTCGGTTTACAGGTCATCATAGAGCGTGGAGTGCACCCGAGCTGGTTTCCGATAAATGAGAGAAAAGTGGTTTCATTTTATTTATTCCATTTTTTTGGGTGATGGGGGAGGGGGGTGGGGGTGTGCGGGGGTGGTGTGGTTGGGGATCGTAGGTTCGGTTAGCGAGGTCAAAAAGAGTCAAACAATGTCAAACACTTGACAGCGCATCTCGTCTGGCCAGTCTGGCCCTTTCGGCTGATGCAGGCCACTCGCCTTGCTCTTGAGAGGGCGTCACAGTCCCTGGCCGCGTGGATAAAGCTTAGCCAAGCCAGTCGCCAGTGATACGATTTGTGAGGGTGTGTCTTGGTTCCGTGCCTGCCCCGAGCACGAGCTGGCGGCTGGCAGGGTTCAGACAAGATCAGATAGAAACCACCCTCTACCTCATGCGTCTTCACGTTGAGAGTGTGAGTTCGGATGTAGAGGTATAGTCGGTATAGTTGAGACTTTGCAACTGGCCGATCTCGCAAAGGCAAACGGCAGAATTCCTATATCGGGGGCCATCGTGGAGCGCATGAGCAATGCCAAGCTTCGGGACTCTCGGATCTAAGCCCGAGATCAGAGTATCGTCTCGAAAAGCCCCGAAAACTTCGAGCCGGGTCCAGGCTTCTTGGGGACCAGTTTCGGCGGGCTAGTCACGGCTAGTCACTCTAGATTCCCGAGGAGCGCGCATGTGGACCTTGAGTGACAGTCTTCTAAACGAGCAGTGTCCATGCTAACAACAAATCTTCCCAAGCCGAGGTTGTCTCGGTCGGCCACAACGGTCGCATCCCAGCGGAGAAGCCGCTAGCCGATGGTTACCCAACGGACCACGGGGACGCTTTGGATGATGCAGGTAAGACCGCATTAGATCGTTCGACTTTCGGCAGGCTGTGCTGGCCTGGATCAGTCCCAACATGCAGAATGCATGGTGTTCTTCACTTTCAACAGTATTGGTTTCTGGCCCTACCCAGGAGACTGCAGCAATCCGCGCAATCGCCGACACGTCAGCAGTGAACTGGGACAAGGTTGTCTTTGCAACATCGCTCAACCCATGTGCTGCTCGTCGGCAGGGAAAGAAACAAGCCACAGCTACAAGACGACTTTCGAAAGATTTACTTCCAGCGATTCTTCAGAGCTTCTGCCTTGTGTTCGTCACATCGGACAATACGCTGCACGCAGCTGAGTTTCTGCAAGGTGATGTGTACTACAGCACTGACTTGGCTGCATGGCCTTGGGCTGCGTGCCTTTGGCAATAAAGGTGACAGAAGGCCAACCTTCAATACGTACTTCAACAACTTGAACCGCCGTAGTTCAAGTATCGCCGGACCGGGACAATACACGCCCATGCCATGCCAGGGAACGTCGTCATCGCCGAGAGCAGCAGCTTCGGTGGTGCTGGCAGTCAGCTGGAACAGCTGGAGGGCATGCAGGTGCTCAACCTGTCCAATGCGTATGCCCAGTCCATGATGAAGACGTTTGCCACCCGTTTCCCCTGGGATTGGGCTGCAGACATAGGTGAGATACCACCCAAAGACTTGGAGCTCAGCACGCGATTGCTAACCCAAAGTTGGGAGTTGCGCCTCTTCGTAGACAGGATATCGGAAGAACTGACGAAGCTCAATCACACTGCTGCTGTCATTGATCCGCACGGAGAAATCCTGGTTTCATCCGCCGACGAGCGCGAGGAGAGCGGCGGGAACGAGACGCGCTCGGCCGTGATGCTGGCACTTGGCCGGGCTGGATCGAAGGTGAACCTTCGGGAGTGCGTTGTCTTCTTCATGGCACCTTGGCCGGGGTTCTTATACACTTATGTTGTGCTAGCAGAGGCATCCTATTCCGCCTGTCTCTGAGAATGGCAGGGTCCCTCGGCAGAGATCGCGGACTTCGGGACAGTGTCAGCCGGGGCTTGTACCTTGTCATGACCCAGTCAGGATCAGAGCTAGGCCAGGCCAGGCAGAGAGCACTGCCGCTTGGGAGACGTCCCGGTCCAGAGTGCCGAGGTCAACTCTTCCGGCCAGCATTGGTTGTCACGACCGCGCCGCCTTCCTCCGAGCTCGAGGACCGACTCCTGGCATACCAGGCACCCATCGTTCCACCTAAAAGTTGCAGTTCCGGCCATTCTTGTGTCGAACATATGGGTAGCTACATACTGCTCAAGTCTGCTTGTCGTGCCAAGTCAATAACCTCACTTGCATCTTTTGGAAGGTGCCGGTCAGGTGCTGCCGAGTTGAGACTCGACTTACACAAGACTGTTGCTGGCTTTTCACGTTTTCGCCAGGGTGAAGCAACAAGCCATGGACAGGAATGAAATGCCTGTCTCTAGACTCTAGCCCTTTGCAAGCAGCCGCCTGGTTGTATCTGCTCTCTATCCAAGGAGAAGCCTGTCTTCTTGGAGTGAGCTGCAAAACCCTGTTACGCTCGCGCCTGCACGGATTGGATCTCGACTAGACTATCTCTTCAGCTTTTTGCCACCTTTTGTTGCTGCCGGTCGAACGACCCTCACACGTACTGACAGTCAATCTGGATGCTTGCAGAGTTGCAGAGACTGTCAGACCATCAGCTGCCCTTGCATGCTCGGCATTATGCTCAGCAAGAGCCAGTGAAAAGAGCAGTTGCGACTGTGGTGACAGGGTAGCAGAACATCCGCGGCGTGGAGAAGTGCAGCAAAGAGTCCTGCTCTATCAATTTCCATGGCTCAAAAAGCGAAAGCATGCCAGGTTGTGGCAGAGCTTTCTTGGCTACCGAACTCCGTTTTAGTTCCTTGCACTGCTCTGGTGTGCTTTCATGATGAAGTTCCTGTCGCGTTTGTGCATCCTTGGTTCGGCTGGGACATCAATTTCGTGGAGAGCGTATGGCGAAAATACGCAGAGCTACGGATGCTTGGCTCGTATTGTGTGTTCGTGGCCGGGGTCGTTCGTGTGGTGAGCGCAACGGCATATATCCAGTAAGGGAGAGACCTGGATACCCAGGGTTTGTGAATCTGCAACAGGAGCCGGAGATGGCGTGGATCTACCGACAGCCCCTATGGAGGATGCATCCCTGCTGCAGTCGCGATTCCGACAGCGCTCCAGGAGCAAAGATCCTTGGCTGAGTTCTACGAACGCGGTGCCTTGTGAGAATCCGTCTGCGCTGCCAGTCGGGGTCTGTCGGAAGAATCCCCGAGTCCCCGAGGCGCGCGAAGCGCGCTTGGCGCGGAAACATCCCTTCCATTTGGATCGCCACGACCATCATCATGCGAAGATTGTGGACACAGCAGACTACCGTGCCGATGCCGCGGCCTTCTTCGAGAAAGTGAAAAACCAATCGCTCGAAGAGCGCTGTCCACATCTGCACAAGATGACACTAAATCAAGTGCACAAAGAATGGAACAGGATGTTTGCCGAGCTGGAGAAAACCACCGGCAACATGACTGCCAAAAAGAAGCTCGCGGCCAACTACGACTTGCACTTCGAATTTAACAGTGTGCTGGCAGAAGAAATGCCGGTGCTTGTGACGGGGCACGTTCCGAAACAGCTTGGCTGGGAGGCCGCGACGCATTGGGGAAGCTTGGTTGCAGCATCAACGGGGTTGGCCAGATGGCCGGGTCGTTGAATGTTGGCAGACCATAACTTGACTGCAAACCAGTGGACATGATTTCTGAAGCACTCGTTCTGATGGCTCTTTCTTTGTTGGACCTGCGCAGGAAGGGATGAGCTCTCGAAGCATATGGGCAGCTTGCCGTGGCAGAAGCTTGCTGGCTGCAGATTGAGACTGTTCGCGGGCAGGCTTGGCATTCAACGGGTCATTTCGGGTTTCCAGACAGAGGAGTGCTACGAATTGTCTGAAGCGGTGCTTTTCCCTGCATTTGCAGCTCAACGCCAGTCGGCACCCTGCCCTTCCATGTCCATCCCTCTGTACATCGAGCCATGTGCTCTTGAGAATGCTTTGTCGAAGTGGTTTTCATATCCAAACCTCAGTGCAGCAATTCACGCTTGCGAGTTGACTCGCACATGATACTTTCGGGTACTGACACAGTGCCACAAAGTTGTCAGTCGAGCCCCAGCCAGGTTCACATTTAATTATCCGGAGTGGCTGATCGGAATGGACCAGTGGGAGTCCTTGGACGATTATGTCAAGCACAATGTGCCCGGTACGCAACAGTGACAGGGTTCTTCTGAGCACCGCTGTGCACTTGGATGGCGTGTAGGCTGCTGAAACTCTGAAGCTGGTCACCGTTCACCATCCAACATCGAAGGGTGCCATGTTCTGCGCAGGTTCACAGCCAATGGGGTCCAAAGGCAAGAAGTAAATATCAAGCCGAGGGGGGGAGAGAGTATCTGAGGAAAGCTCTCAGAACATCTTCCTCTTTGCAAGTGAGGGAGGCTGCTCCGAAGAAGCCAAGCTTAAGAACTCTGTGGATGCAATCCGGCGGCAGCCGCTCGAAATGCAGAAAGGTTTGGCAGTGTAGCCGGTCGTATCCTGCCAGTGTGTGCAGCTCGTCTTGGATTTTTCGCTTGGGTGCATATCGGATTGCAAAACAACCATAACTTTTAATCTCGGACTGGTGTTGAGAATTTCGGTTTGTTGTCATGATGAAGCGGTGCTTGCTGCAAGTTTGGGAACCTGGTCATGAGTCAACTACATGAACTACATCTGCACATGAAGACGACATTTGGATCTCGCGATTAAGGTTTTCTGGAATCTCCCTTGGAGCGGCCACTAGGGGTCTGTGCAATTGTTCCTTTCCGCCCCAAGTGCAGCATGTTTACGCTCATGTGGGTCTGTGAGGTCCCAAGTCCCAAGCACTAAAGGCGGAGAGTCTTCATTCCACAAGAGACCGCTGTTGAATTCTTCGTTGAACACGTTTCACACCAGCAACAACGTAGACATAAGAACCCTAGCAGTAGTCGTTGCCGCAGTCATAGTGGCAGTCGTAGTGGTAGGATTTGTAGGAAAGCATTGGTAATATTCATTAGTCACGGTAGCAATACTGGTCGAAATATGATAATAACATAATAATAGTAATAGTCATGATCTGAACAACACTCATAATTAGTGACGAAGAATGATTTTAGAAAAGAGAGCGATCAGAAGAAGAAGATTCGCGAGGTTTGCTCCGAGCCCCGACTTTGCCTTCGGCCCGGAGGCAAAGCAGAAAACAAAAGATGTCTGCTCGGGGGGGCTAGATAGTGGGTATAATATAGTAGCTATATTAAGGGTATATTGCCTAGGGGTCAGGATCGTTGTGCCCACCTTTCGCAAGAATCCTCAATCGCAAACTGCCATGTAGGCCATCAGGATTTCCATGCGGAAGCCAAGACTAGTGGCACCCAACCCTTACGGCCCAAGTGAATCGGGAGTGATGTCCTTTGTTGGACCCAGGTCGCCAGTTGTGAAGGGCTCGTTGCTTAGTTCGATATGGTTTATGGGCCAGAGGTTCGTTCGATGCTCCGAGGGTGTTCGATGTTTAGCTTGTTCTTTGCCACTGCTTTTGATCGGGTTGGCAGGATTGCATGGCCATTGTGGCGATCGACGCGCAGGGAGCCTCTGGCGGCAGTGGACAGACTTGCACGGGATGGGCCGCTGTGCACAGACGCCATTGTTTTCCGCCCAAAGACTGCGATATACGTAGTAAGAGGCAGGAATATGTGTGGCCGCGCATGCACCATTTCCAATAGCTTCCATCCGCAAAGAGCGCTGCCCCATGCAGACATTGCGTGCGCGCCTGGGGCGGGGGCTGGTGGTGGCGGAGTGTGCATGTGCCCGTTAAAACAATCTTCGCGGGAGCAGGGCAAGTGCTTTCTGAAAGCCCCGTGAAGATACTGCCTAGGGATGCTCAAGGCTCAAGAACTCCAAAACGGCCAGAATTCTCAGAAATAGGGCAAGCCAGGGCGAGACTGAAGGAAGAGCTGTAGCACGATTGTCGCGACAATTGCAGGCGGTGTTGAAATTGACTGCATTTCAGCACATCACGAACAATGGCCCTCATGCAATCAAGAACACTGGGAGATTGGGCGATTGTTGTCACTTTGTGGCACATGAGGGGCATGTTGATCTTGCTTCGGTTGCCCTTGCCTGGAGCAATGGATCCGTCAAGCTCAGATAGGACCAGTCGGTCGGAATGTCTTAACGCGACATCAAGCCTGCTCTAGAGGTGACATGGGTTCCAAGCCAAAACTTTCGAAAGCGAGAGATCAGGTCTCTTTGAACTCGTACTTCATATCACCGTGGGCTTAGAAGTCACACTTTCCCATTCCAGATAGCTCGAAAACTCATCGCCGCTGAAGACCGATAAAGATAAACCCCCCAAACGGCGGCATGCACGCACCACTTTCACTTGACTCAAGGGACCACTCGGTCGGACAACTGACGGAAACAACGCAAGAAAACGATGCAAAGGGGAAGAACGGAGATGACTGAACCGCGCCCGACACACGCCGAACACCCTACATATGCTGACGGCATGGTGTGAGGGCGAGAAAGGATTGCACGCCTAACAGCTGCACACATGAAACTGCTCGTGGGATGCGCCAAATGGAGGTGACGCGTTGGTGTGACTCTACCCTCCCGTTCCAGCTCGCGCGTTTCAGCAGATTGGGACCCCTCCAAAGCGCCTCGTGCGGTGGCCCTCGAGTGTAAGAAAGAGGCAGACATGTAGCGTGTAGACAGAGCGACCGGTAGATGGACAAGGCCGAGACGGGGGGCTCGTGTGACGAAAAAGGCAACGTCGGACGCCTAAGACATGTCAGGAAGCTCCCACGGCTTCCACAGCCACGACCCGGTCTGGAACGTTCAGGTCGAAGGCTACAAACAGTGACTCGGCAGCTTAGCCTTGTCTGTAGCCTGTGAAAAACATTCAAGCATCAGCCAGTGCCCACAAGGGGGCCGATATTTCGCTGTGGTCTGGTCAGTATCTGCGCGTTGAGAAGCATTTGGGCAAGGTGGTGGCTGCTTCCACCCAACTACGTCTCCAGCGCACCTCGGCATGTACTTAGAAAGCACATTGAAGGCTATGTCGTGTAATCGTCATGTAGTTCGAACGCAGACTTCGATGCCGGCTACACTGTCGCATGTACCGTTCCATACCGCAATAGTAGCCCAGCATGGTCGCACTGATTCTTGTTTTGAAATCGCACGTCGATTAAGGACACCTGGCCGGAAACTTGGTGCAGATATGGACATGACCTGTGAGCAAGGCATGTCCGGATGTCGGAACTAGCTCATGATTCCGCAGACGCTTCCATGCAAGACTGATCGTGCATTACATGTTGCAACCGAGGAGGGTGGGCAGAAGTGGGGTGCAGCACCACTGCTCCCAAGTGGCGAGGTTCCTGCATGCTGCAAGCAGTGGAACTTTCTGACACACGCATCCCTACTAGTTGCCACAAGGGCTGCAGCATCATCCCAGCTCATTGTCCCGATATTATGCTATGTTCCTCCCGCAAGCAGGGATTCAGACAAAATCCTGCGCAACCCGTCATCGGCCTGCAGCCTCCCGCGCTTCCGAGTCTCGTGAGCTCCAAGGCCTTCCAGTACCCCAACGCCTGCGCGATGCTGAACCAGGCGACGCCTCCACCAGGCACGGCAATGCAGAAGGTCATGGGATCACAAAAAATTGCCCTTCGTGGCACACAAGGGAGCAACGTCTACGGACTGACCTTAGCTCGGCGGCTCCATATCTCGATGTAGCGCCGATCAAGTCATTCATTCATCCGCTCATTCACTCGTGCACACCTACACCACGTACATTCATACACACAAACATTGCATTGCATTACAACATTAGACTGCATGAAATGACAGGCAGACAGGATCAGACAGGCAGGCAGGCAGACAGAAGGACAGACAGACGTACTTGTACATACATACGTACATACATATGTACATACAGACATACACGTACGTGCATACATACATATATGTCAGGCGTTTGGCGTTCCCAGCCCCCCATAGTATGGTCTGGTATGGGGTGGGGGGGGGGCTGGCGTGTGCGGAAAGGGGTGGGGCCGTTGAAGCTACAGCTGGAGGGACGGCCGGCGTCACAGACAAGGCCAGCATCGTACGCAAGCCCTACGCAAGCCCTACGCAAGCCATGAATCCTATAACTTAGCACAGTAGCGCCTGCTCCTGCTTTTGTTAACCTTAACTTAAAGGTCAAACCCTACCACCAACCCTAAACCCCGCTTAAATGAAGGCTCCAGGGCTAAACCAGAACATAAACTGTCAACCTTAGAGAACCTACACCCCAAACCCTCCCTAAGCCCTTGTCGACTTGAAGCCATATACCTTTCAACCCAAAGCCTTAAACCCAAAACTCAAAAGTTTAAGCTAGACCCAAAACCCCAAAACCCCCACAACCACCCCACAGCAAAAGAGGGAACCCACATTCCATCCCACAGGAGGGGGGGCATCGTGAACCATAGACCATGGAGGGGGGGGGGTGGGGGGCGGCCGCGGAGCGCGTCCATATATATATATATATATTTATGGACTACGTCTTTGTCGTTCTTACACATAGAAGCCACCATGCAGACGGTGTGTCCGCGTGCTTGCAATTGCGTATGCATGTACATGCGCATGCGTTCCTTCACTGTTCCGATGTCAGGTACACTGACATGTGTGACCGGACCTGGTGAGATGTTGCTTCTGCCTGACGAGTGGATCCATGCCACTTGTGGCCTCACAGACACTTGGCCAAGACGTGCGCCTGCCAGCTTCGCCTGTGTCGAAACGAATTGTCAGAAGGGCAGTGCAGTGGACCGTTGACAGGCGCAATGTTTCAACTTAGTCCGTCTAAGGAGTTCACTGCAGCTGCTGGTGGCTGGCTGGCCTACCACGACGACTAGTGAGAGATCTCTTACACAAAGCATTTTAAATTGGACGCATCTGCCAGCCTGTAAATAAGCAGTGTGCAACCCTCGTTTCAGAATGAGCTGTGGTCTGTATTTGGCATGGAAGAGTCGCAGTTGATGGGCTGCGGAACCCATGCTTTCGAAGATAGGACACGGGAGCACAAACAGACTCCACAACCTGCAGCTGCAGGGAATCCTGCTCACTGTTGCTCTTTGGGTATTGCTTCCAGCTGGAGTCTTTGTGTGTTTTCGTCATTCTCGCGGAGTGCTCTTTCGGGCGAAGTGGCTTTGGAGCTGATCTTTTTCGACATCTTGAGATGTGGAAAATCAGCATTGACGCGGCGTGCTGCAGACTGCATATTGCGTTTCGAGACCACGTTTTCCGATGCGACTGCAGCTTCAACAAGAAACCTCCTGAGATTGAGTCTTGTCAGACTGCTTGTTGTCAACGTGGAAAACTTGCAAGACCCATCCAGTTCGCGAGCAGAAAAGTCGCTTCCAGTTGTGTGCAATGCCGTGGCAATTGCCTGAACGTGAGCTTCTGGTTTGGTTCTCGGTGCTGCTGTGGTCGTGCCCCGGCTGCTATTGTCAAAGTTACTGGAATAGACACAGGGCCCAGGACCTTTCGAAGAGGAGCCATAGGTTCTGCATTTGCTTCGTCTACTGTGCGAGACCTGTGCTGATGTAGCCCGACCAGACCGAGGCAGGTGCACTCCCAGCCACAGGGTGCGCATCCGTCCACGTTCACGCTGGATGGCTTGGTCCTTTCTGAGACAGATGACCAGCAGAATGACCAGCCCATCTACAAGTGCCCTGGCCCTGGTCAGAAAAAGCATAGCCAGTTTATTGCAAAGAACATCTTCTTGCCTTGTGCAGGCTCTTCGAGCGGGGATTCTTTTCTGCTGTGCAATCTGCAGATTGCCAGCACGCTGATGACGGGGGCCTCCAGTGCCGTGAAATTAGAGGACATCCGAAGCTGCATTGGCACGTCTTTAGTCTTACAATCTCCAATTCTTGGGAGTTGTGGTCTGTGCATGTCTTAGCGGAGCTTCCGGGTAGTCCTCCGGGAAATACTGTCTTCGCATCAAGCAAGGAGGCTTCGATCCTGCGAGATGGGATCAGCTGATAGAGCAAATGTGGAAGCTCGTAGAGTACGGGCATCCAGGCTGAACTGGAGAATTTTTCTGCCCTGCCCTCAGAAAATATAGGGTCTTTTCCGCAGAGGTACAAGCACCCCTCCATGGGCCATGCCCTTGCCATGTCCTTGTACTCCTGGTTCTGGTGGGAGGGGCCTGGCAGCGACCGTGCCGCTCGGCCTTGGCCCGCTGGTATCCCATGTGGTTTGGAGGCTTCGAGGTAAGAGGCCTAGCTTGGCTTTGCCAGTTCCGGTGTTCGTGACTTTTGGGAAGATCCTGCAATGATCTTCGGTTATTTTCTCGTGATTCGCTGCAATGCTTTGCGCACTCGTAGTGGCCAATTTTGCCCTGCGAGGGCTTGAAGCTTTTGCGCCGCGGAGTCTTGCAAGGTGAATATTGTGACTGGCCGCCTGGCCTGCGATTTCTTTGCAACATCGCTGAGCTTCAACAGCTGTGTGGATCCCAATCTTCCACTGCAACATGGCAGCGAACTGAATCGTGAAGCTAAGCCCGAAGCCTCCATTGCATCACATGCATTCAAGGTGATTCCTGCGTAAGCAGTGGGCAGGAACTGGACGGGGCATGACGGGGCTATAAACGCAATCTGCCACTTCGCTGCCCTGAGGCAGGATTTCTATCAGCGAAATTGCCACATGCGATGGCGGTACTTGCTAATGCCTCTCGGCTGAAAGCCTCGAGAGAGCTGCATATCCACCTAATGCGATGCAGAAAACATGGAAGCTGACCTGGAAGGCACCGAATATCACTTAATCGTTTACATAGAGCATCATAGAGCGGAGAAGCCCCAAAGTGACCAAGGATCGCAAGCGAGCTTGGCAGGTATCTCGCAGTCGTCCAGCTGGATGTCCGCACAGCCACCGAAGTATTGCAGTCTGCTCGAAGATACTTCCAAGTCATGCGGCAGCTACCTGCCTTTGGCCCGCACGCAGGCCGTGGGGTACGGAATGCTGTGCCGTGAGTAGTCAAACTACTAGAAAGCGTCATGTCCGCGCATCCAGTAGATGAAAGGCTGCAGGAGCAAGCGAGCTCTTCAGCACGACTTTGTTGGCAAAACTGCAGGAAAGCTGACCTCGCCTCACGACATTAGTCTGAATGCTGACTACTTCCCTGCCCCTCGGCTTCGTTGAAAACTCACTGTTTTTCAGTGGCCCCGAACCTCGCCTGCTTGTCGAGTGCGAGTGACAAAAAGTGGCGCTGGAGTTAGTGGTGGCATATCCTGAGCACGCAAGGCGTCCGTGGTCAATCAGGGCCCAATCTGGAAGAATGCCAGAGAGCAGGTGGGTTCTGGGCAGCCTAAGTTCGAGGTTGTCGTCTTTTGGATGTGGCAGGTCCCGATTGTCTCCTTCCTGGAGGAGAACTTTCCGACCATCCAAGCGGAACTGTGTCCCGGCGCCGTTTTCTTGACTCTCGATGCGTGATGCAGATTCCAAATTCGGTCGCACAGCATCCGCACTAGCGGATCCAGTTAGGTTGGCAATCCTCGGTGATGAGCACCGCTTCAGCTTGATGAATCAGGCACTGTCAATCTAGCAGGTCCACGAGCTGCAAGCACCTCAGCTGCAAGGCCACTCGCAATGCCGAGCCTCAGTTTGGGCCTCGCGATGATGACTGGCTCACTGCTTACCTGGTGCGTGGTGCAGAGTTCAACGAGATGGTGTGTGCACATGCGCCTCGGAGACTTGGCTTCAGCCATTTCCTATTCTACTCCCAAGTGCGACAGATTCGAGGGTGATTCAAAGACCCACGACCATGGCGAAGCCGAGGACTTGTGCCTTGCTGCGTACTCGGCCAGAGCTTGCCGACGCTTCGATGTCACTGAGCACTGAGCAGTGCTGCTGCCATGCGTCGGTCGGTCGTCCGGGAAGATCTGCAACTCTGAAGGGAGCGGGTCTCCCACGAAAGCTAAGGAATGCCACTCAGGTCTTTCCGGATCGGGCTTCTTGCGGATGCGACCAGGAGGCATAAACTTCGGTCGTCATGCGTGCGTCAGATCAACGTGCCTGTTCAGATGCTTCCTCAATCTTCCTCACATTTAAGAGTGATCTGACTGATCCTTTTAGCAGACTGTGCACGAAAGCTTGACGAGAGCCATCTGCCATGTTGCATGGCCGCGTACTGTATAAAATTTGGAAGAGTCCAGGACTGCACAGCTTAGTTTGAGCCAGTTTTCTGAGCTCAAAGGCTGGAGGGAAGGTCTGTGCGTTCTCCTCTCCTACCAGCTGCCATCCGTCTTGCGAAGTTCAGTGAGAGGCCGGTTAAAGCCGCACTTTGGTGGTGCGCCCCGGCTGAGTGCGACTTGGCTCCAGCAGTGAGCATCCCCCCGTCTTGTACGGCCTACGGCTCCACACTCTGGGCTTCCGGGGCCAGGCGGAGTAGCCCAGAGCAGGTCTCGCCAACTCTCCTCCATCAAGCGTTGGTACGGTTGCTGCACAGGGGTCAGGAACGAACTCGATCCTTTTGGTCCTTTTGGGTAACATTTTGGGACCATGCCCATGGGGCGAGTCGAGGCTCACTTGGCCCTGCTCGTGCCGGATGGCGAGCTGTACATGTCTGTGGGTTCCGACTCTTTGAAGCCTAAAGAGAGACGTCGTTGCCGCTCCAGCTTCCATATGTCGAAAGGCCGTACAGCAGGAGCTGCAGCCAAGGAGACGACTCGGTGGGTGGAAGGCCAGGTGATCACTTTCGACGACACCTTCATTCACAGTGTGACTCACAACGGAGACCAGCCTCGTTCCTGGGCAAGCCGTGGGGGTTCGGATTGTTTTTTGAGGTGGCCCGTGCACGTTTGGCATATGTTGGCATTTTTTGTTGGCATGCAGTTCGAATCCTTCCGCTGCTCTGATGCTAAGGTTATGTGCTTAACGTATGGATGTGCCACCCGTGCGACCCCACCGAAGGACATGGTGGAGCAGGTCGCACAATCCCAGACTATTGCGAAACTTAGGCTGGACTTAGAAAGCTCTGCGTTTTTGAGTTGAGAGCGCTGGCCAGCCTGCAACCTTGAGATCCAAACGTGCAGCTGCGGATTGCGAGCTGAGGACGGGCCCGAGCACGGGGTTCTCCCTCCTGACATGATGGCAAGATGATCCTTTCTGCTTCGGGTCGCGTGTGCTGGTGTACTACACGACTTGGCTGAGCGACGGAGTTGCTGGATGTGTAGCATCACGATGCGATCTCTGTATGTTTGCCATGGCGCGCTGTCAAACTTGGAGCTGCACTTTCTACCTCACCCTGGCAGCAGAAACGGGTCTCCCCAGCTGACCGGGTACTCAAAGCCCCGGACACCAGATTGAGAACTTCGATCGGCATGCCGGATGAGCTTCTGTGTTGAAGATATTTTTGTCAACTTCCTGCTGTCTTCTCGATGATCTGGGCTGTTTTTCCGACAGTCATCTTGAAGGCTGCTTGGGAGATGGCTTTGCCAGTGGCGACACGGGAATTTCCGGAGAAGAGTCGTCTGCAACACGCGCAGATATTCTGGATGTTCAATCGTGCGAAGCGTTGCAAGGAGTTCTCCAGGAGGCATTCCCTGCCGCTGCGAGCTGGAATCTGCATAGTGAAATTTATCAGCAGGACCAGCTGCCACTGCTACGATGTGAAAGCTGGCATCCTCTTGCTGCTCGCGTAGTCAAGCAGTCCAGCGAGCCGAGCTTGGCAAAAGTTGCCCCCTCGTCGCCCGCCGTGCCGGAGGAAGTCATGCGGTCGAGGCTGATACTTCATTGCTTGCTCGGATTCAAGGGGCTGCGTAACTTTGGCCGACAAAGGGGAGCCGTAGCCGAAGAGGTAACTCAAACTTCATTCGGTGCTTTATCGGCTTGTGCTGGTCGCCTATGATTCTTGGTGGCGAAACCTCCAGCGGCTCAAGGTAGCCTGCCAGGTCAACAATCAAGCTCATACATCATACATCTTGCTACGACTTGAGCAGCTTGCTACAAGAACCTTGGTGAGCGACTCTAGCACGCTGCAGTTTTCACGTCCTGTAAGACGCGCAGCGCCTTGCTGGGCTCTGAGCCGAGGGTTGAATTTCACAGGTACGTGAGGCATAGAAGCACTGCTCTTGAAATCCCTAATCCCGCTTTCAATGGGTTTACCATTCCCGGTGGCAATTGTCTGGCCAATGCATGCTCCCCGGACTTGAAGATGGTAAGAGCGAGGTCGGACATGGCCGCAAGCACTTCGAGCAGTTCTCATCGAGGCAGGCTGAACAGTTGGGCTATATGCTCTGAAGACTCTGAGCTTTTCTTTCTAGAGGCAAGATGCCTCTTTGAAAACATGTTGCACTGCGTGTTTCACAACGTCAGTTGGATATCCTGGGCGATGTTTGGTTTTGCTGGCCGTGGGTTCGTCCACATGATGTGTGACCTGTAGCAACTTTAGTGAGGACTACGCACGAGGGCGCCCCATCTTTTCCTTTGGAGCTTTTTTGCCTTGCTGAGGAATTCGGCTGCTCGCAGCCCAGCCCAGGCAAAAGGAAGCAGCGTATTGGCAGCTTGCCGCTAGGCCTTCAGGCTCGGCTCGCACAGTTTCGGCTCAGGTGCTTCCACTTGACAGCAGTTTTGGGGCTCGCGGACAGGGCCCCAGCTTGAGCGGGACTTGGGCTGCATGAAGGTGGTGAGGGCACATACACATCTGCACAGGCCTTGTGTCATGGCTTCCTCGCCTTCGTGGGCGGAAGCGTGCGGGGCTTAGGTTTGTTGAAGTGCTTTCACTTGATTCGCCTAGTATTGCCGTTGCCATGAGTGTACCGGAAGTCGCCCGACTTCCGATCCCATCCGTTTTGAAAGGAAGGTGGCCCCCAAGCCCAAGCCACTTGCACTACGGGCTGCTCCTTGCTCTTCTCTGGCCTCGCAGGGCCTCCGTCCTGATGTCCCTCGAGGCCCTCGACCCGTGGTTCGTACTGCCGAGGCGGGGAGCATACAAAACTTGCCATGCCAGCAAAAAGATGCCCATACTTCCCAACCGAAAGATGAAGGGCTCCTGTATGTGTTGCATCTGTGGACGGTTCAAGCCACAGTCACTGCCTCAAGAAGCCTACCTCGTAGAGGGGATGCGTGCGGGGTGGCACGGTTTCCTTTACTCCGTGTTTCAGGGTGGGACAGCGCTGGAGAAGAAACCCAAGGCGGAAGGCTCAGAGAATGAATCAGATCGAGATCTGCCAGTTGACTTCGCAGTTTTCATCCCGGCTAGGGGTAGCGAATGCAGAAGACGATCCCACGCCATGTGAGGTCGGAAACGAATACCGCCTGAATGTCGGTCGTGCAATTGCGCGGGCCCTGACGACGAAGAGAATATCCGGAGAGCCAGGTCGCAGTCTGAAGACGCCCTCAAGAAACGCTAGAAACAACGCTGCCAGACATCGAGTTGCTGAAGGCTGTCGTGATGCGATTATTGTCGGGATATGCTGCTCGAAGACAGAAATCTTTTGCAATTGCTGATGCCTGATGCTTGAGTGCACGATTCTTGACTGGTTCCACAGTTCCACGATGCAACGCCAGAGGGTCACAGCGTCACCGAATCGGGTCATCTCCTAAACCCCAGGCCTAGGGCATCCGTGAGCCGGAAAGTAGCGCCGCCCCAGCACGCTGGCCTCCATGAAGCGGCCTTCGGCCTCTTCCGCTGCCTCCGCTGCGTCTGAAAGGCCGACAGGGCATTTTGAAACGGCCGGGGGGACCGTAGGTGTCGCGGACGTTTCTGGACTCTTCTCTGCATGTGGCCAACTCCCGCACTGCACGAAGTGAGGTCTGCTTTTGATCGCCGTGGCTCGAGTCTGGGGTTGGCCGTCCTCAAAAGAGGAATGTCGTGCCTCCCACAGAAGCCTCGATCCACCAGCCCGCTGGAGCTCCATGCTGCAACAGTGCAGGCGAATGCGGAGGAGAGCAACAGCTCAGCCTTCCGATGCCTGGCATCTTTTCCCATGTACACCGTGCCTCTTCCAACTCTTCTACACATGACCGCAGCTCGAGTCCAGGCTGGGTCCACAAAGCCTCGCCAATATGGCCCTAGACTCCCTAGACTCTAGACTAGAATCGGGACCGAGCCCCGTGTCGCCTGCAGTCCCAACCAGGCATTTGAGGAGTTGCTGGAGGCCGGAGTTTTGGTGGACTTCGACGAAAGCATGGGGAAGGCCATTTTCGTGTCCCACCAGTGGCTCAGCACTCACCATCCTGATCCAGACGGGCAACAGTTAAAGGTCTTACAGGATGCCTTGAAGAACCTCTTGGCTGATCGCAGCCGCATCTCCACCTCCGTGGTCACCGAGATCTTTTATGGCCAATCGCCCACCCCATCGGCGAAAGACCTGAGAACGACACCTCTTTTCCTATGGTATGATTATTTCAGCTGCCCTCAAAAATCACAGGCTGACCAGCTTAGGGCAATCAACAGCATTCCCAGCTACGTGGCCAGATGCCTCTACTTCATGATTCTCTCGCCGGCGCTCAAGCACGAGTCTCGTTCAGAGATCTTGAGTCAGTGGACGTGGGCTCAGCGAGGACAGCACAGGGGCTTCTAGATCCCAATAACTCTTTCGATGCTCAAACCAACCCTGGGGCAAGTGCATTAGCTTAGTACCCTTGACGCTTGTCAGGATGGTGCAGAGCAGAGCGCATGGCTCGTGAGTTGGCCCCCTCATCCGGATTTGTGATTATTGTGGAGAGCGCCACGCACCAGACCCTCTTGCCGGAATTTCAGTCATTCTTGTATTCTCCCGGAGAAGGTCGGTTTACCGTCACAGAGGACAGCCACAAGGTGGCCAGCATAGTGGTGCAGCTTATTTGGAACAAGCTGCTTCTTTGCTTGAGAGAAGGCGACTTGCATAACTACCGGTTCATTTTGAACCAACAAGCCACACGACTTCGCAACTTGAACATCGACCCGGTCGACTTGGCAATTCCAGGCTTCAATCCGAGTCAGGATCCGTTTGTAAATCCTGAGGCGTTTGCGCTTGCAAGGTTCATGCACCAGAACGGTTTTGAGGCAGTCACGCAGATAGATGAAGCAGGATGGTCACCGCTGTGCTATGCTGCTATGAATGGCAGCTCAGCTGTGGTGTCGGAGCTGTTGAGACGCAGGGCAGATGCGAACGAGTGTACACAGAAGGGTACCAAGGAGGCACAGTTTCCAAAGAAGATGACAGCTCTCTCCCTCAGTGCTTGCTTCAGGAGCAATGAGGTCATGCAGGTGCTCTTGAGTGCTCGAGCAGCGGTGAATGTCAGGGATGGTCGCCGGCAAACCGCTTTACATTGGGCATGCATCTCCAACAATGCCGAAGGCGTAAGGATTCTCGTCAAAGCCGGAGCAGATGCTGAGATGTTGGCGATCACTGGACAGAGTGCTTTCCAGCTTGCTTGTTCAGCGGGCGCATTGGAAGCCATCAGTGAGATGCTCTTGCAGTTTCCGAAACAAGACCTCCAATACAGCTTGCACTTCGCATTTCTTCTGGGAGGTGGCTCAGGCCACTTGGTGAGAACTCTCTTCGAGGCCAAAGCCGATGTGAATGAGCGGCTTGAGCTGCTGCAGAGCAAGTACTTGCTCCTGTGGACATTGTGCAAAGCAGCCAGCTTCTCCCACAGAGTCGGTGCTTCCACGCGTTTGAGGGAGTTGGCTTTCCATCACAGACGGGCCACCCCGCTGATGCCTCTCGTCGGATTTGAGACACGCGCATTCCGAAAGTCTTTTACTTCAGAAAGGCCACCGTCCCTGTTTTTTGGGGCGTCGCGTCTTACAGGTTCAGCGTAATCTGCGGCGCCTTCGAAGCTACGTATGCACTACTCGCCGTTGGGGCTCGCCGAGACCTGCGGAACTCTCGCGGACGGCCACATGGAAGCAAGAAGGGGAATGGCATTTTTTGTCGTCTGGTCCCACGTCTCCGATGCAGACGCTCCTTCCCAGGACTGCTGTGGATCTCGCCGTCGAAATCTGCGCACCTCCTGCACTGGTTGCCAAACTCAATCCTGCGCAGGACCTGTGCGGCAAATTGACAGATCTGCACAACACCACTAAATCGGGCAACAAACGCAACGTGACGGTGCCATACTCGTGGCCGGATGGTTTGCTTTCGAAGAGAATTATGCATTGTGGTGAGGTTGCCTTGTGGTGACACTGTTGCTAGGATATGCTAGCATCTTTCCGTTTTTGGATCCTGCCAACAAGGAGTCACATACTTCCACTTAGTTGCAGCTCTAGCACCTTCGCTGTCCGGTACGAAACTTGCCTCGTATTCTTAAGACTTCTCACAGCTTCCCTTGTCGCTTGTGGCTTCTGCTTCCCCAGCTCCTAGGGCATCCGGGGAAATCGCGCAAGACTCAAAGAGCCAGTCTCGGTCTGGAGGATCCTAGAATTGCAGGAAGAAACCCGGCTTCATGGTGACAGTAATCGCCAGGATGGGAATGATTTGGACAATTGGAGGAGATTGAGTGTAAGAGAGAGTCGAATCATTTAGAGCTTTTCCTGCGAGGAGCTTGCGGCACTGGACGAGGAGTTCGTGGCAGTGGAGGAAGAAACTTGGCCGAGCTAAAAAGAGGTGGGACGGGGGCTCTGCGCAGATCGCCAACCATGCTGAGGCATGGTTGGCGATTCCGGGTAGTGCGAAGAGAGGGCCAGAACTCACGGGAGCGAACTGTAGCACCATTTAAAGTTTAAAGTTTATATGAAATGCTTCAAGGAAATCAGGTGCACGTTTTGTTTTGGCGGTCTGCCCTTATCCACCCCTGCTGTTGTAAGGAACCCGACGACGAGATGATTTCCGTCTACATAAGCTGACATTTGCAGCCCTTTATCTTGTGAGATGAGGCCTATGGGCCTATGAGCCTCTAAGTAATAAATGTCTCGCAGTCTTGCGGGTGATTTCCGAAGAGAAGCAGCCCATGCCTGGCCGAAAGCGGCCTCGTTACTCTTTCAGTGCTTGTGCACCAACTACCTGGTAACTCCCTCCTGCCAAACAGCTCCCATCGCTAAGCCGTTTTCAGTGTGTTGATTGTGTTGTCAGCGAAATTCGCAGCAGGCAGGCTCGTTTGTGCGACTGCGGGATCGATAATGTCCGGTTTCACTGAGGCACTTACATTTTTCTTGGAGCTTGGCTTGCTTCTTGGAACTTCCCTGCGACCGTCTAAAAAATCTTCTCCGATCTCGTCGTGTGCATGCAGTGCTGGCCGAAAACAGTTGTCTGCGGTCATGCTTATGCCATGGAGACCTCGAGGCATTCTGTGAAGAAGGGATCTGCTACCGGAGGCTGTGGGAGCTTGCGTGTGTGTGTGTGTGTGTGTGTGGAGAGATGGGAGCTGCTTAGCTGCTTGCTGAGCGCTCGCAGGCCCAAACCCCGAGAAAGCCAACCTTGACATCGCGCTAGAGACAGCCCTCCTTGCACTCGTTAAGCGCCGGGGAGTACAAAAGCGCCTGGGTCGCACAGAATCGAGCGGAGAGACCTGTCTGTTTTGAACTTCCGGCATCTTTGTTTTCAGGACAGCTTGTCCTGAATCAAGAACAGGACCTGCTGACCCAGCGAAGTTCCGCGCTTGGAACTGAAACTTGGGGATGGCTGGTGCCTTGGATATACACAGAAGTTGGCTACATGCGAATTCCCTTGTCTTCCGATTAAAGGGATGCCCAGAGCCACAGGTGTTTAGTAGCAATGTTGCAGTCTCGTGCGTCGCAAGTACAGAGCAGCCAGTGAATGCTAGTGATAGGCATTGCCGCAAGCCATGTTATTGGAATTTCTGGGATACCATCTCCTCCCTCGTCGAAGGCGAGAGGCCATGCCAGCAACTCATGCTGTCGTGAAGCGGTTGGCGCTGGCAGAGCCGCTTCAGCATAACTGTGCAGCATTTTTTCCAGGGCAAGCAGTAACATGCAGCTGCAAGAGAGCATGCTTGTGCTTGCCGTTCTCTGCCTGAGATATAGCAGAGGAAAATTTCGGAATTACCTGTGAAGCCAAGGGTTGTCGTTCGAGAGCAGCGCGGGCAGCTGTCGCTTGGCATGGTTGGCGGCTCTCGAAAGTGTTTGGCGCCTCTTGGAGCTCCCGGCTCTGCGGAGCGCTGCAAGCGGAAAGGCTGTGGTGTCACACTGTTCTCGGCACAGGTTGAAGCCAGACGTGGCCTCTTGCCTGACTCAGAGACCGGGGCGACCAGTTTCAGGTGATGTTGCATGCTCACAGCTATCAAGCTAGCCCACGTTTCGGTCGTTGCGGCCTCTTGACTGCCTCGACCCAGCTTGGCACCGAGGAGCCCCGTGGACCTTACCGAGTGCGATTGGTCGGTTGATGCCGCCGAATGAGCTGTGCAATGCAAAGAGCAACTTTCTTGAGGCTTGTTCCTACTACAATGCAGCCCCATAGTGGGTGCTTGGATGTGCTTCTGTTGTGGTTGCTGATGACCTAGCGCAGTTGTGGTTCACCGGTTGCACGTAATCAGTGCCTACTGCACGGCTTGGCGGCCGGAGGTGACGACAAGCACTCTTCAAGGACAGCCGCTGACGATGCGTAAGTGAAGTGTCAGCAAGAAGCCGAGGGCTCTCGGAGCCTAAATCCCCTTCAATGAATGATGCTACTACTCCATGCAGCTGCTGGAGCCCAAATTAAAGTTCAACATTGCAGGAATCATCTCATGTTGAATTCCGTCGCGGGGTGGACTTCGGAGCAGAGGTTCAGGTTTACGTTCTACATCCGACCAGAACAAGCTTAAGCGGCCGTGGCTGGAATTCTACCGACGCGATGGCCCCCTGTGAGAAACGGAGTGGCAGGAAGTCGAAGGCTTGTAGTCTACTTGCCGGGGAAGCGCGGGCTTCTTGCTGGTCTCTGAGGGTCGCAGATCAGTGATTGCACGCGAAGGGAAAAAGCCTTTGATTTGATGTGCATTTGCACCTTCCGACTTCTTTGAACCTTTCGTGTCTGGCAGCTTCACACTGTTGCCTTTGCTTGCGCCCAGGATGTCTTGCGTCGGGACATGGTCGGTGTCTTTGGCCCTGGGCGTGGACCCAAGACTAGCTGCCATTTCTCCCTTGCGCGTCACAGCTGGTGGTGCCACAGGCAGCACGTCCCAGACTTCTCCATCTACAGCCCCGACATTGAGGCAAGACATTGCAGCCTTGAGAGGCCTGAGAGGCTTTCCCGCCACTCCGCCATCCTGCATTGCTGCGACAGCAGGTGATAGATGCCCGTCTCCCAAGCTTCCAGCTTCGCGGCCTAGCCACCTACCAGCAGGCATCGGTTTTGGAAAGCACAGCGGCAAGTCAAGACGAGAGAGCAGATAAGTTCCGACATCGCGAGTGTCTGCAGACCTCCCTGCCGGCCTACTTCTTTGAACCAGCGCGTGTCGCAGGTGCTCTCGACAATGCAGTGGTCTGTGCTCTTCTGAGATATGCGTACTCTCTGATTCTGGCCCCTGTTCCTTTATCAAATGTGCATTCACGACGGAACCGAGATCAAGTCGATCTGCGACCGCAGCAAAATGGAGATTACATCTCTAACACCGTCCACAGCTCAGTAATGCGCAGTACATTGCTAGGAAGCAGTCAGTGGTCTATCGAATCGGCGCGGGGCGACTTGGAATGCAAAGCCTTCGAGCTATTTCGAGCTTGGCCGATGCAGAGCCCGTAGAGCCGAAGAGCCATGCAGCAGTCTGCCACACTGCTAGGTTATGCTAGGCTGCACACCGCGCAGATCATGCCGTGAGACAGCTTTAGATCAGGCCGGTGAATGACCAGATGTACGTCAGGCCAAACTGCTTTTCCGAAGTGCACTTCCCGTGCGAAGGCAGACGTTCCCTTCTCTTGTAGGTGGAGGCTGCACTTGTGGTTCAAAGATGTGCGCTCTCTGCTGGTCCGGACCCGAGACCAGCGCATGGAGAGGAGCAAACAGCCCCGTGAGGCTCAGTCGTCGAAAGCAGGATCTGCAACTAGGAGCCCCACAAACTCGGGGACTGCGAGCCAGGATTCAAGCAAAACTTGCCAGTTTCTGGCCTGGGGGTTGCATGTGTTGAGGTGGGTGCATGGATCGGGTAGGGAGTGGGTGGTTTTAGCGTAAGAGGCCTGAATCAGATGATTGCTTTTGAATCCTGCTGCGGTTCTTATTCTTCGTGAAAAAGGTACTCCTGCACACGTTGTCAAGGGCGACTATACTCTGACTGCACTCGCAAAGACTGCACAAGGCCCCGGCGTTCGGTGGCTCGCCGAGGATCAGCCTGGAGGCAGCGGGGGAAGGCCGAGGAGAGGATTCGTGAGAGTGCCACGACTGCTCGTCAGGGGCCTTTCATTGTGGAGGGCTATTCGCGCACTGGCCCTAAGTCCCTGCAGTCCCTGCAATTTGGCCATCTCCAGACGTCCTTTCTGAATTTCAGAATGCGTCGAATTCTGAACTCTCAGCACGAGCCAGATTAGATTCTACTCAATTTCGGGTAAGCTGGCTTCACAGAGAGGGCATGCCAGACCACACTAGAGGCATACATGTTTCGGCATATGTCCTGAGGATATCAATTCGATCCTTGGTCTGCGGAGATAGTCTCTTGTCAGCACAGGCCGAACATGACCGCTGCTTTTTGATCGTGCGCGTGCGGAGTGGCACAGTGGGTGCACATGAGTGGGCACCTCGCCCAGGTCAAGCACACCATTGCTCGCGCCCCGTTTGATGCCAGTCCACGCAGCCAATTGCACGATCAGCTCGCAGTTGTCACCTCAGAGTCTCCGCTCAGGACATCACGAATCCACCCATGTACCTTTCAGACCTGGCCGGAGTCTCAGCGGTGAAGTTCCGAGAACGCCTCGATACGCCTGGTTGCCACGTGGCGAGTCAGGTGGCCCAGTATTCTCCCGTGCCTTCTTGGATGATGCCAGTCAGCACAGGCCCGGGGGGAAATGAGTGGCGGGAGTGGTGAGGTCTACTTTGTGGCCTCTCTTGTTTGACTTATACATAAAATGGAAGCAAACACATCTCAAGCACACCACACTAAAGCCGTCTGAATCGGAAGTCGGACCAGAGGAGTGGAGTGGGGAGTTTCGGTTGGAGTGCAATTTGTTAGAGACATGTCCTTGCTCAGCAGCGTGGAGTCCGAAGCAACAGCTGCATGAAGCTCTCCACCTGTCAGGCCCACTGGGCGTCCCAAGCCTCACGCGTGCGTGGCCGTGATCTCACATGTGCGGTTTTCGGAGCCTGACACATGCAGTGGATGATTCGACGGTCGAGTTTTAAACTACTCAGTTACTCTTCGCCGTCTCGACGCTGGTGAGTGCAGAGGGACTGCTTGAATTGAGGGTCGGTGACTAGAGTCCGCGAAGATGCGGGCAATACATGGATACGCGGTAACTCGTGGCACAGAGCTCAGGCCTGTGCACTTCCACAGCTCTGGCGGGGAGGAGAAGGCCAGATTCTCGACGCAGGGTTGCCGCCTGCCGCGGCTATGTCTCCAGAGATCCCCAGAGGCGCAGGAGAATGTGGGACGAGGGACATGAAAAGAACTCCAGTAGCTGTGGCAATGTCACTTCCGTTGTCTAGTCTCGCCTTGAAACCTCGCCTGACGCCGCCGAGCCAAAAAAAAACTGTGGAGCACACGCTCCTTGTAATCTTAGCTGTGTCATTGTTTCGCATCAAGGGGGCCACCAATAGGTTGACAGGAGACAGATGAGCCAAGCTGACCGGTAGTTCCGTCTGCGAGGCATCGGCATCGTTGACAGGCGTGTCAGACTCGGAGTTGTTCCCTCGTGAAGTTCACCGTGCCTGCTGCAAGCTTCCCTGCTTTGTCCAGTTTCTCCCACAGCTTCCACCTGATGCTCTGTGAGCACGCCTGTCAAAATCCGAGTCCACTGCGCCTAGCGCCCGCAGCTCTGGCACGAGCCTGGGGCCTACACTGAGGGCAGTTGAGGGATCTTCGACAGCTTGGAAGCCGTGACCTAAAAGCTGCCTCCCACAGACTACGTAGTAGATAGCTGCAGATAGCTGGCTTTGGCCAGGTCCTCGCTCAGACACTGCTCGGGGAGCAGGCTTCGCAGAACTCGAGCGCCATGAGCTGGTATGGGGTCACACTCATGTCAAGCGTGTGTGCGAAGCCTCACATGGTGCCCTGCCATGGTCCATAGGGATAACAGGGACCGGGGATAAGAGACAAGCGCATGTCTGCGACAGTCGTCAACTGGGACATTTTTCGGCTGAAGCTGCTGCCATGATAAAGGTACACAAGTCTGCGTGAACGCCATGTGTGTGTGTGTGTGTGTGCTACGGACAATGAGGAAATCCTCTTCACTTCACCTCTTCATTCAAACTCCTACTTTTCCATAGGGCCTTTTGTCCGCATACCCTCGACAGCGTATCCAGAGTTCTGGGAATCGCAAGTGCAATGGCCAAAGCTGCAGTGAAGCCTTCATCTCACAAGATCTGCATTTTGACTGCACGTGGTCAGAGCTTGGGTGGGCTTCAGAATCTGGTTATGGCTGCATGACAGAGCCGAGCGGTTGTTTTTGCAGAGTTTCATTTTCATGGTTCTTGAGTTCTTCAGCAAGTATTGTATGATAGCTGCCCCACACTGCCGCTCCTGGTGAACAAGGGACCGCAACCCGAAGACGGCTTTTGTCGGTATCCATGAATGCCAGGGAGACTACCACGCACGGCTTCAATCGGCGGACAGATTCTATTTCACAGTGGAAGATCCAGAGTTGTAGAACCGTGCTGTAGATGCTGGGCCCTTGCATGGTCATGCACGCAAAAACGCATGCTACACCACAGCAAGAAACCTGCATTCTGTCTGCTCAAGCCTGGCAGTAGTACACCTGTCAACGAACTGCTGATGTGCAGAAAAACAAGAAACATAAGGTTCAGCTTGGCTCAGAAGATCTAAGAAGGCCTTGATTCTTCGAAGACCCTTCCACGTGTGTGCTCGCAGCACAGGTTTGCCGGGTCTGCCGCCTCGATACTGGGCTGCACCCAGGGTGGTGTGCAGTGTGCAGATCTCTGCTTTTTCTTTCTGCCATGCTTGTAAGCAGAACTTTGGAAAAGTGTCGGCAAGGCGAGGATCAGAATCAGGTGGCTGCAGCATTCTGATGACTGGCCACATGCCATGGCATCAAAGTGGTAATCTCGCTCAAGCAAAGCTCCGGGTCAGGTTAGGACTAGAAAGTCGACCTTGACCGACCGGGCGCAAAGGAAGGACAACTAGTGGAGCACCCGGCCAGGCCGAGGAAGAAGTTGACGAACAGACAAGGGAAAACGGAAGAAATGGCAGAGATCGGCAATACGTGAGCTGCCTTGAGCACCCCTGAACCAGTAACTATGTCAGACCGGCCCCGGCAGCCGACTCTCTGAAAGAGGGTGGAGGGGTGAAGGTTAGCTCCTGTTAGGTTCTGCGGGTCATGCCATGATGTGACATGCTGAGGAAGCCCAGAGGACGTGGGACTGGACTCGCAGGTGCTGGCGGAACATAGCGAGGCACGTATTTGTGATCTTAAAGGAAGCACACGTGTCTTCTTCTACCTTGGTGTATAAAGGCACTGTAGCAATTGCAGTGCCGTGGGTCCACCGGCATGTGCAAGAAGCTTGGCGAGCCCTCCACTTCCAAGACTTTCACAAACAGGCCAACGAGAGACAGATCGCAATTGGTGCCTCGACAAAGCAAGTAGTGTTTTGCTACCAATCGGAACTGATAGCTTTGTCATGGGTACTCATGAAGCCAGCTGGAAGCCAGCTGGGTGCTAGTGTGCTGGTCTCTGCCGGATCTGCCGGGTGACAACTGTGAGTGAGGTTACATGCCGGGAGTCGCGGAGTGTGCGCTCAAAGACAACTGTCTGGTATATGCCGACATCCGTGGATACCAGGTGCCATGTCGGCAGGCTTTCGGCCGTGATTTGGTGAGGGGATGTGATGTGTGCAGATGACTTGTTGGGCCGAGGACAAGGAGGCGAGGAAGCCAATGACCGAGAAGTCTTTGTTCCGCTGCCATTCGATGACGACCCTCGGCTGGCAGTTGAACACTTGACGGGATCGTGAGTTCGCATGTAACTCATTTCTTCACTACGGCTCAATTTATCTTTTTGGCCTGCGGCAGCCGAGTCTCAGATTGCACTGCGATGTGCTGCATTGCTGCTTTCGCAGGAAGCCGATCACAGCAGTGGCATTGATGGCGTTGTGGGAGGCCATTGAACAACTGCAACTTTCAACTTCTAGAGAATATGGATGGAAAGAATGCGCATGGCGTTGCAATGTATAGGGGGAGGCGTATCCACCCAAGGCCGGGATGCCGTGAAATCAAGGACGAAGCATAAGACAGTCAGACAGTGTGCAGGAGGGTAAGCTGGGCTTGGATGACCCGGTGCACAAATACATCCCGGCTTTCCGCCACATGAAGGCCTGGTGCGAAGTTGTTGCTGCAGGCTTGTTCGTGCAAGTACGGCGGATCTTCTGCTTGCGACTGGTCCCAGGTTGCCAAGGGCAAAGTCCACGAAGATGCCTGCCGGCCGATTACACTTCGCCACCTGGTCACCCACACCTCCGGCTTGGGTTGCATGGCAAGCAGTGATCGTCGATGCCAGAGCTTGTCTTTTGATAGGGGAATTGACAGTGTATGCTGCAGAAATGCATGTCGTCTGTCATCATTCGCAGTCCAAGCAACGTTGCCCCTACTGCTGCGGCAAATGTTGTTGAGATCTGCGGAGTCTAACACTTCATTCCATGCCCAGAAGTGAACATCAGATTCTCAGCGGGAGCAGTTTGACACCTGTCGCCATTCAGAGGATACTGTTTGCCAAAACCTCGTCGTCCTTTCTGTATTTAACGAGACTTCGCTGGTTCTTTCCACTTTGGTCAGACCATACGAATTTGGGGTGCACAGGGCGTCTTGAACTTTCCAAGCCCCTCAGGCTGCTACTGTAGAGCATCATACCGACTCTTACCTTTCTCCGGGAAGAACCGAAGTACATCCACGATGTGGTCAATGAAGTGCGACTGCCCGAAACTCATGAAACTGCCGACTAGGCACTAGGTCACTGGGTATTGTCTCTCCAGCTTGATGTTGATGCAGAGGTTATGGCCCCTCGCGCGAGCGAAAGTGCGAAAAGCTGGATGAGGGGCCGTACACCCGATTCGTCAAGCGGGTGGATGCCGGGCTTGTCCCTAACTTGTGTCTTGGATGCAAGTACGATTGGCAGGCAGCAGTAACAGGAAGAGTCAAGCCAGCCTATGCGTCAATATGGGCTATACAAACCGATTGCGTGCATATTGGCTACAGATCGATTGTGACCCCAACAGACGTCAGCGGCGCTTTACATAGTAAATGAGGTTGGAAACATTTTGAAACAAGAATACGAAAGCTTCCGGAGACAGAGATCGTTCTGTGTCAGCTTCTTCCAGGAAGAGCTTCTGCGACGAGCTCGCATCATTTCCGCTTCGATTTCATCCGGGAGAGAAGTGTTCTGCATGCATTCATCCTTTGCATCAGCGTGTGAACTCGGCGGTCGGCATTAGGCTCTTCTTTCAACTCGCAGCCTGTGTCTCTGGCAGTCCCGGTTCCTCTCTCTCTCTCTCTGTGTTAAGGTGGGAATACTCCATGGGAATGGACGTCCTTGGCCGTGTGCTGGAGGTGGTGTCTGGAAGCTCGGCATATCTTCATGCCCGGGCAATGAGCAGTTCCCCTTTCTCGAATTGGCGGTCTGCTTGGGGCCAAGCCTTCGTGTTGGATGGGGTTCAAGGATTTGAGAAGCGAAGCTACTAAACACCGCAAAAGGGTGCACGTACTAGTATCCCGATACATCCAAGGCTGTGGTTTCAACTGCTTGTTTGTTCCATGAGGGTTCGAAAGCGGGTTAGCTTTCCGAATGGCCTGGCGGTGAGTGTGAGTGTGGCGTGTATGGTTTGCAGGGCCTCCGGCACGGATGCTTTTTGACACCGCGACCGCTAAGCTGGTTTGGTGCTGCTATGTGCTGTTGCATGTCACATGACGAACCGTTTAAGTACACCTGCAATGCAGGATTGTTTTTAATCCAGCAGGGAGTGTCCCGGTGCCGCCACAATTGCGGGGGTGTGTTGTCGGACGTATGTGCGCTTCAACATGTGCAACCCGCAAATCGCTGCCAGAGAAGTTTCGTTTAAGGTTTCAGCATGATTCAGCTTGTCGAAATAAGCATTTGTGTTTCGGGAGATTGCCTGACTTTGGTAGCCCTCGCTCCTCTCTCCAGCCCCCGCGCACGCGTCGTTGTTTGCGCTTTCGCTCTCGCTTGCTTTGTTGTACCTTACGTCTGTGGTTCTCGTGATGCACTTGGTTCGCTGACCTCTTCAGGTTAATTGATGGCAGGCACAGGGGCCACGGCCACCATTGAGACCTTGCATTGCAATTGCGTAGCCACTGCTCGGTCAAGTCAATACGCAACAGCCGTGACGTCGATCTTTCTGCCAAGCATGCTGGCCAAGCTCGTGCTGACAAGCTTGACTGCTTCGGCACTTGCAGACTCGGCGCGGTCACATCCAGCGAACGACTCGGCCAATGCAACGATCGACGGTAGTGCACAGCTGCGGCACCACTCCAACGAAAGTACCTATCGTGGCTCAGCAGTCAAGGACCAGAGCACACAGGCGAGTGCGACGGTTTCTCCGAAGACTGAAGATCTGTCGGGCTTTGCCCAGCCTTCCCTACGAGGTGGAGCCTCGAGAGCTGGATGGACTTGGCAGAAGACCTGCTGCTCGAAGTACCAGGTGAGAACCGAGAACTACCAGACTGCGCAGAGGTACTTGGATCGGTGCTTGCAGTACAGCCACTGCACGGGCTGGACGAAAGAGTGGTTGACCGGACCAGGCGAGATTCTTGTTTACTGTCACGGAGGTTGCGAGGCCTCGCTGCCGAAGTCTAATCCTTGATGCCCCCGATGGACATAGCAGGCACGGGACGGGGTGGCATCCAATGGTTTTGGCCGTGGCCTATGTCTAGCAGCAATGCCCAAGCCAACTCTATGACGTGCAGTGAGGACCCAAGATCCTACTGACAGGAGTGGCGAGGAGGCAATGCCAACGGCTGTCTTCCTTGTTTCCGACTTGATTCGGATTGTTTCTTGACCCGAGGCACCTGTCTCTGCGAGACAAGCTCGGGGCAACTCTTGCAACTTTCGTGCTTGCCTTTGCCTTTGCACATAGTGACCCCCGCCGAGCGAGAGTCGACATTGCAACAGCAACCGGTAGCACGAAGACTGACGTTATTCCGATCTCGCAAAGGTGATGCTGTACCCCTTTGTGTGTGGCCCGAGCAGTCAGCTTGCCTCTGTTCCATGCAGTCAGGAATGCCTCTGGATCGCTTCTTCCGGAAGCGGATCTTCAAGAGGATTGGAATGAAAGACACGGCCTCTAAGCTGCAACCGGTTGCCGCACGCAGCTTATCTAGAGCGACGATGATGGGTTCGCATCGTCTGAGGCCTTTTCTGTCAGTGCCTTTCGTGCTCGTCGCCGCTTGACCGCGTACTATGCCGCTTGTATGCAGAATTGATGACGGCTGGCATGCTGCTTGGCTCTTGCGACTCCATCTGCTGTTGCTTTCTGCCTGGCGTGCAGTTTTCGAGGTGACGAAGGCGCGGTCAAAGCACAGCACCTTGGCTCAAAAGAATGAATATCCAAGATGACAAAGGCCAAGGGCAGACCCCGGAGACAGATGCCGTTTTGGCACGGTTGAGCATTTCCAGACCAGATAATGTGCTGATTTTACCGGAGCACGCCCCTGCACTGCCTCGCAGTCCAGGAAAGACGAAGCTACCCAACAAGTTCTCTGCGAGACGCGCCTTTTGGACGGTGTGAGGAAGTGGTTCAACTGTTGTGCTTACGGTTCTTCCTTTTTGTGCAACACTGCGGCAGCGGCCGTGCGCAGTAAAGGCGTAGGCGAAGGCATCTCATGTACGAGTCATGTAATCATATATCATTACTGAGGAAACCACTTGTCCGCTTTTTTTTGGGATCTCTGTCAGTTTTGCCAAGAGCGGAGCCACTGGGTTAGACAATCCTGGAACTAGAATGCATTTTCATGGGGATGGAGTTCAAACGCGTGTCGGACGAAAAGAAAGGCTGATGGCCGCCATCCTCAGTTCAGCGCATGGGTGCGTGGCCGGTCGCTGCGGGTGCTGTCTGGAGGTTGTGCCCTCAGTCCACTGTCCGACTGTCGCGGCGACGAGAACCAGAAGGACGCATTGGTTTTAGCTAGCTTTCTTCACGGCTAGGTTCTGTGCCTTCAATGATTCAGACCCTGAGGCTTACTAGATAGGTTGCTGCAGCATCTGTGGCGATTCCCTTGAACGCATGAACAGTCCGGCGACTCTGATGGTGTCTGCACCGAGGTGGCATCTGCGGATCTTTCGCAGGCGAAGATGCCCCCGTCTACAGCAGTGATGGCAGCTGTGGTGTTTCAAGTTGTAGTCATTGCAGTGGCAGATACGGGAACCGTCGTTCAAAAGCTCATGCTCTGCTTCAATGTGCAAATTTGTTTCTTTAGAGTTGGTCTTCGGTTTTAGTACACAGAATCAGATGTATCCATCGCACTGTGACGGTTAAGCTGTTTCAGGTGGACTGTTGTCGTCTCTTCGAGATCAGGCGCTCTTCTGCGCAGCGCTGCTAAACGCAGGCAAGGTGCACCATCATGGCATGTCTCCACCTCCTCACACACTTCACAATTCGCTGCGGTAAACCTCGTACAGCTGCCGCAGGCATTGGTCACTGCAAGCATAGCCCGTGACACACAGCAAATTGCCACCTAAGCTGTTGAGATCAGGCGAAACCGGCTAAAACTTCACTAGCGAATGAAGCGCAAGGCTACTCACATGCCAGCGGCCGACGAGTACTGGAGCCTGGAACGGTGAGGATGCTCTGCCGAGCTACTTGTCCAAGGGCTTAGCCAATGTGGAGTAGGGTTTCAATGAAAATGTGTCTATGTAAATGCAAATTGGGAGTTTCTTTTCTGCCGGTTGGCCTGTCTGATAGATGCATCATTGTTGCGCTCGGTAGGCAGAAGGGGAAATTATGGAAACGGCCTTGGTGATCGGCCGAGGATTGGCTTCGTATGAAGTCTGTCGCAGACAAGGATGTTCTCCCTGGGTGGGGCATGCAACTTGACGTACATCTAGGTTCAGGTTTGAGTAACAGCAGATCTTGGTAGACATGGTTGTAGCTGCCGTCCCTATTGCCCCCTGATCAGATTTCAGGGCGTGGACATGTGCACGAAAATCATAGAAACTATCTCATGAAGTATGGGAGCTTCTGGGGATATCAGTGGTGGCAGTGCTGCAAGGCATTCTATGGGCATTGGATGGTGTCCTGTCGGTCACTGGATTCCCGAACTTCACGAGCTGCTTGGCTGTGCTTTCCTATATCTTGTCAAGAAGACCTTAATGTCATACTGCTGCTTCCACTGCCGTCGCTTGAACGTTTCCCAGTTCCCACGCATCGGATGGGTGTGCACCTGCACAGACTGAGGATGTTTATGGGTGGAATAACTACATCCTGGTCCATCAACTTCAATGCGAAGATCATCCAAGTGCCCTGGCAGCAGATAGCTATGCCGGTGGACACTTTAAAGCGCCAGCTTCACGGCGCGACTCCCGGGCTCTTGAAGAAGACCACCTGAAAACTGAAGCCACGGAGCCGCCGCCCCGCCCGTGACAATTTTTTGGCACCGAGGTCACGATGACCTCCAGCTCCTGCGATGCTGATGTTCATGGATGGGATCATCGAAGGGACGACCTCGACGGTTGCATCAAGCATGCCTTGAAGGCTCGCCTTGGTGCTCGACCGTGCATGCGGCCGTTGTGGTAGGAGGCATCTCGGCAGCTGCAGCTGCGAAATGGCGCAATGGTTGCCTGAGAGGGGCTTACACCCAGCAGGTTGCACTACGTATCCTGTCAGGGTTTTGGCTGAGTGTCACACCTCATGTACATTGCACAAGGAAGCGGCCCATGTGATGAAGGTCTGCAAACGAAAGCAGAAGCATCTGCGCCTGCACCGCCAAAAGTGCTCGAGGAGAAAGTTAACCAGATCACGGTTGCTTGGACGGCACACGTTTCATTCGTGGTCTTCATGTCTTGTAGATGAAGGAAATCGAAGGGGTGCATGCAAAGACTAGTATAAACACAGAGTGGAGTGATCGTGCTGCCAACGGCAGAGTGGGAAGTTAAATTTGGATTGTAAGAGAGGGAGAGAGACAGAGAGAGATAAGTATCCGAGAACGGTGCCGGTACGTCCCTGCCAACCCGTAGGGAACCGAACTTGCTTTTTACGAAAGCCGCGCCAGCCCTGCAGAACCTGTCTTACGTGTTGGATGGTGTCTCGAGAGCGTCGTTGTTGGCACGTTTAGTATCGTAGGCAGGTGCCGGAACTCGACAGCTTCAGGCAGTGCAGGGCAGGCGATGTCGGGGGCGAAAAACCGTCCCGTCACCGGCAACATGTGAGCACTCGGGGCGATGATAGCACTTTCGATCATCGGAGATAAGTCTTGTGTTCTTCAGGTATTCTTACACGCCACAGTCGAGCTGTTCATACGTGGGGTCGTAGCTCTAGCCTTTCGCATGTAATACCATGCGCACCGCCAACAGCGGGCAGCCCCATGGCCGGGGGCTCGCCCCTCAAGCCTGGCGAAAGAAGTATCCAAGTTACAGGACATTCCTTTGCCGTAGCGGTAGTTCATGAACTTTGATCGTCACGTACGTTGTGCAGCCGCCCTCACATGCCAATGCAAAGCCCTTAATGAATGCCCTAGGCCCTCGCGACCTTCGGCCACAAGAAACCTCGAACGTTTCCCTTCCCCACAAGAGAGAGGACCCTCAGCTTGCGAAGTGCGATGATGATTGATGAATGTCTCTCGGTTCACTTCTCCTGAATTCCTACAAGAGGTTGGGTGGGCCTGGGGGCCCTGCTCCGCGCACCCGGGAAGGACACAGAGAGAGACAGAGAACAGAGTCCCGGCAGGGCTTCTTGCCTTAAGCCATACAGCCCTGAACGAAACGAGCTGAGCCCGGAGCGCGTACTGTCTGAGGGACTGATTGCACAGGTCGTCCTCAGAAAAGGAAAACCGAACAAAGAAGGTACGCAAGTGCTGTGGTCCCTTGTGCTCCGGTGCCCCCACAAGACGGAGACACAGAAACCTCCAGCGGTTTAACGAGCTGTCAGAGTCCAGTCTGGTTGCTCGGCCTCTTCTCGTTGCTCCGGCCCTGTCTCCATCCGTGGGAAGGAGTTAGCTTCCTATGGGCCATGGGAACGGCGTGAAATTCTTGCAACTAGGTTCAGGGGCATTTTACCCTTGAGTTTGAATGTCGGATCCGCTGCAAAGAGAAGTATGTTTAGAAAGGCATGTTGAACGCCTTTGACCGAGGGCACGCGCCTGATTCAGCAGTGTACAGCCGGCCGCGAAGAGGGCCTGCACTTTATGTGCTCATAAACTGCACTTGCAATAGGGCCTCGTTTTCCGACGCGACATGGGGGCCTTGCCGAGAAGAGACACGTGCAACCAGTAGAGCTTGGCTGAGTCGAATTACACATCACATACAGCTTGCAGCAGATAGTGTCGCGACATAGCCCGCAAGTGACAGTACATCGCTTGACTCGCCGCCCTGAGTGAGTGCGAACCATCGGCAATAGTGCCTAGGTCCCAGTTACCGGCCATGAGTCCTGAAATGCGTCTGGGATATCACGCGCAAGCGGAACTATGGAAAGCTGTAGTCGATTATCCATCTTTGCTCGCCTGTTTGTGTTTGTGCCTGTGACAGCCCTATCATGAGCGATGCATCTGCGAGTAGTAGCAAAGATGCGGAGGGAGCTCTCCAAACGGTGGCTTCGAGCAATCACTTCAGCCTCATGCTCTTGCCTGGCACAGCACTCACCGGATTCTAGAATTGTTGAATTCATGCGCATCTCCAGCCCATTCGGGCTTGGCTCTGCGACTTTGGGTCCAACAGTCCGGCAAGCAGAAAAAGTGGACCCAGGTTGGACCCAGGTTGGGAGGTCGGCTGAGCTGTTCGAGTCCGAAGAGCTCGCCTTGCTGAGATTTGAGGGAGATTCCAAACAGGGCTGTGGCCGGAGACTTCGAAAACTCAAAGCCGCCAACGCACATCCAGTTTCAATGACGCAGTCGGACAGCTCCGCCGGATTGGCTGCGTGGTGTGCGAAGTTTGCACATCGGTATGGCCGTCTCGGCAGTCACTGCACTTCAGAATCCTGGCAGTATGTGACCGAGTATTCTTGCAGTCGCATCTACTTTCGCCACATCTGGCCTGTTGTGTTAGTTATTCCCAATCGCAGTGCTTGCAGAAGGCCAGCTGGGCACGCCACGCAGAAAAGCATGATGGTCGAAATGACCAGCCGACGTTGTGGAGTGCCCAGCCATTTGAAGTGATTTTTACGTCAGGGCTGAGGTAATTCTGGTGCTCGTCCTCCCATGCAATGCTCTTCGTCTTGAGTCAGATGGCAGATAGGCAGATAGGTAGGAAAAGATTTGCCTTGAGCCCACCGCGACCTCATCGAGAAAGGCCACCTGCCCCGGAGGCCAGCCCATGCCTGCGTGGCAGGGGGGCCCCTTCAGAGGGGACAGTCTTGCGACTCATGCGATGTTCCCAATTTTTGAGGTCATGAGTTCAATCAGGTGACACAAACGCTTAGAGGTGGAGCTTGTTGCTGTTCCGTTGGGTTTCGGCACGTACGAGTGGGTGAGGGAATGAAGCCGGTGAGGAAGAGACGACGACCTCTCAAGCAAAAGGATCACATGGGAAACCTTGTCATGCGTTCATTCGGGGCTCTACACCAATACGACAAGTATGAGCCTCAGATTCTGTCCGGGACTTCTTTCCTGTCTTTCATGCTGCGTACCCCTGGACATTGCCTGATACTTGTAAACTCTGGTAGCCAAAAAGTCCTTGTGCAGCCGCAAGCTAACCCCGGAAGGGAAGCAGAGCCCTCGAGGAAGTTGATTCCTCTTAGTCTTCGCATGCCCTGCTGTAGCTGGTACTTCGATTTAACTCTTCGAGGGCAGATTCCCGAGAAAATGAACCTGACAGCGCTGAGCTGAGCCTGTCATCCCGAAGTCTTCCGTGAAGCGCTTGCTTTCCTGGCTGTGGTCCGGGGGCTGTGGTCAAGATGTGTCAAGATGAGCTTGCAGTCTGACAACACTTGAAGTGACAAGACTACCCCAGCAGTCGGTGGCAGTGCGCTGCGACACGCTCGGCCAATGTACAAAGCCTGCATGTGCCACAGAAGCTCCGATCTATTTCCGGGCGAAAGCACGAAGAAAATGTCGCTCGAGATTGCAAGCATCTGAGAGCCATGCTGGTCAAGTTCCACGCAGTCTTCCAAAAATAGTGCAGCTTTGTGCCCCTGGTTAGTCAGGTGGCTGGCTGCCCGGCCTGATCCTGCCTGAGAGCATGCCATGCGCTGTCGTTCTCGGCTGTACTTATGCATAGGACAGGAGCAGACATTCAGCAAACCTCATTGCTGCAACTCCTGAGGCCCCAAGGCTGCGAGGCGCGCCGACGGAACAACAACGCAAGTCCGCAAAGTGCAGTGTCACGCAGTGAAGAGTTTGAAGAGTCAAAACCTTGTGTTTCCACCCGCCGAGATTATGCTATCAAAGTTTACTCTGGTTCGGGTTGTGTTGTAATGCAGCCAGGATGACTTCGAGTGCAATGACGGCAAGGCCAACTTTCCTTTGCAGTGCTGCGAGATGCCGCGGGCCCCGGACCGGCTCCATCTGCGGAAACGGGCCAAAGTGAAGGCTCAAGTTTTCAGACTTGCGCATTTCGTGCTCGTCCCTACGTTCGGGCAAAAGTGAAGGGTCAAGCCTGGTACTATTGTGCCCATCATATAGTGCCATTGTGTAGCAGATAGCGCCGTGCCATCACTGCGGGTTGTGGAGTGCTGGAGGAAGAGGGGTCTGGGAATGTCTCCCTCGCCGAGGCCGCTGCTCGGCAAGTTCTGCTGCGAGCCTCCAGTCGGGAGTCCCGGAACCATCGGAACATTGCTTGAACTCCGTTTGTGGTGCTTCCTAAACTCAATCAAATGTTGGAGAACGCACAAGCTTGACGAGTTCTCGTATTGCTTGAACCGTGTTCAGAATCCTAAGATCTGGATGATCCGACCAACATTCCGTGAAAAAGCAAGTTTGGCACAGCGGGTAGCTGCGCTGGATTCGATCGTTACTGCCGGCAAGCACAGTGAGTGGCATCGGCCAAGCGACACATCTAAGCAAGCCACAGCAAGCGATGCTAGGACGACTTCGCCACGGACGCCCGGCGCAATTCCAAACTTCTGGAGTCATAGCCTTTGAGGGCATAGTAGTAGGGCATCGGATCAGGACTCCTGGAGCAGCTTTTGTGCTCGAATCCATCGGCAGACTGCCAGAGATGTCCGTATGTGATTGTAGGATGACGGCTAGGCAAGAGTTGTTGCTCTTGCCAGGGCGTGCCGGACATCCCAGCATATCTCCCTCTGTCCGAATCCTAGAGTCAGCGGTTGTCACGGCTTCAGTCAACGCTGATTTCGCCATGATGCCATGCCTTGCAGCATTGAGTGACTGTCCATCCGCTGATGCCCTCAAAATGAGCTTTCTGGATCTTAGGCCGGTTCCTGTGGAAGAGCCGTGGGGCCCGGGCAAGGGTGGCAAAAACTAGGCGCGACTCGCGCCGTGCAATAGGACGAAGGGATGCTAGATCCGATTCAACACGGCGCAGGTATCGAGGCCCGCTCCGGGAATTTTAAGCTCGACCTTTCGCCATCTTGAGCCTCTGAGCAATCGACGGCTTCTGAGAGGAGCCGCAACTGTTTGACATGGACCTGGGCTCTGCGCGTGGAAGCACACGGGGGAAATTTGTTCTGAAAGTCCCGACGCCGTGTGGTTCGATGACTTCCCTTGATGACATCTTCGAAGGGCTCTCTCTTCTTTTGTGAGGATAGGGAGGCTTCTCAGAAGGGTACTTGTCAGTGTGTTTAACCCTATTCAACAATATTCAGAAATGTTTGAATTTCTGCCACTTTCTGCTTAAATATTCGGAAATGTTCCGTTTTCTTCCGGGAAACTTCCATAATATTCTTCATTCTTCCAGGTTCTTCACCATTCTTCTTAGATCTTCGTAAATCTTC